AGGTGTTGTTATAACGGTTTAACAGACGAAAGAACAACGGAGACTTAGTTTTAGAGTAAGGGTTTTTTCATAATAATAATAAATGTAGAAGTTCTTTCCTTATCTAAAAGAACTTTTGCAGCTTCCAACGAAAAGGCTCGAGAAAGAAAGAGCTTTAAGGGAACGCTTAGAGCGACGCACTGAGCGATGAGAACATAATTGTGCTAAAAATATTTATTTCTTATGATTTTACACACACCACTCATTAAATAAAACACTGTTTCAAGGGGTTTAAGGTACGGTTTTGAATACTTTTATATTTATTTCTACGATTCGGAGCAAGAACAGTCTCTAAAGGTTCCGAAACGTAGAGATATTTATGTAAAAGTATTAAAAAACTCATCAAGTCCATTGAAATACTGTTTTTATGTTCTAAAATGTTAAAAAAGAGCCACGAATTAAACCCCACGGTGACGGATCCATTTAAATAGTGTTAAACCAGCCTACCGTATATGCGCTGACCGTTTCTGCACTCATCACTTAGCCAAAAGTCGTTGCCGATAGTGCAAAGCTATATACCAAAGAAGATCTCGGAGGAAGGCACTTGCCACTTTTTGACGCGAAAATAAAATTTGACACTGGAGATGAAATTTTATATATAAACTCGATTATCTTACGAATATGAAATCGCAAGAAACCACTACTTTATAATAAACAATTAACGGTGCCCCTTGTCTCTGGTGGCTTCATAATTAAGTAATTACGTATTTCATTTGTCGCTATTGATACGTAAATTTTTGTTACCTTTTCTAATAGCTTATCTAAATTAAGATTTACCTACTCAGTAACAAATTTGCAATAGATGGAATGCCCACAGTAGTTTTTGACACATTTAGTAAAATACCAGTTATTCTGTTGAAAAGCTAATATTTAATATTCCAATATCTGCCTACTTCGAATTATTATAAATATTTCGTTACTCTTATACGTCTACTTATCCGCTTAATCTTTTGAATTGTCTCAAACAATTGTCACCAGTTAGCGTCTGTTTATAAACATCCTGAATAAAACATTCGGTGTCAAAACAAAACAGAACTCTTCGAAACTTACTTCAGTGTGGAATCATGAATCACCTTAGAATTCACCAACGCAATGTCTAGGTATTCGATTGGGGGATGAGCAGTTTTTCTAGATATTTCATATGTTGTCTGAATACCTACTTGTAAATAATTATAAAAGCTATTACAAATTATACCAACTAACGTTATTCATAAGAGTGCGTAGAATAAGCATGATTTTGATGTTTCTTTTTTATTATTATAAATATTTCATTAGATACTACTATATAATAACATAAAACTCATTAGCACACAAAATATCAAAAGGATTTGTGGTTATGTGTTTACGTTACAAAATATCGTTACAAAGGTACTCGTTTTTGTTTAAAACATAAATCTTCTGTACGAAAACACTTTACAACATTTAATACAACATGACAAAGCTGAATGTTTTATATTTAATTCATTGAAGTTCTGAAAAGAAGACGGGCAGTTTTCGAAAGCATTGCTGGTGGCAAATTGTTACTAAGTAATATTTTCTTACAGTAACTTTATAAGCGATCTTTCTGGATACGAAGTAGTATTAAGCATTTTCGGTATCTAATCTAACACCCAGTTAGCGATATGGCGTAAATATAGGTGCGGCTTAATTAAAGTTTTCTTCAGCTTTTTTTTACTTTTTTGTGAAAAAAGAGTCCAGTGCTGTAAAAGGCCACCATAATCTTTAGACGCCTTCGATACCAGAGTACCAATAGCGCTTTGCCTATCGCGACTCCATCTCCTACCCCGTAAAAGCCACGGCACCCTACTTTTTTATGTTATAAGGGTGGCAAACAAACTCACCTGATGGTAAGCGGTCACCATAGCCTACTGACGCGATACCAAAAATTTCACTCGCAAGCTGCGTACCATAACCCAATCCCCTACCCCGGGGATTCCTGGAACCTTACTCACCGACAGAAACACAACACCACCAAAAGGTAGTGTCATTATCCTGTGATAATCTGTAAGGTGTAAGTTACTACCCCTGACGGGCGCTGCTATTCAAGCGGAAAGTCAGCTATGCCCTACCTCTCTACCGCCAGAAACACAACACCACCAAAAGTTATAGTTATCATGGTCATTCGTAAGGTGGAGAAGTGATATGATAAGTTTTTTTTTTCTCGATACAATCATTAACAATAAACTTGTAAGCATAGTTTTACAAATACTTATACAAATTTTGCTTTATTTTCTCTAAAATTACAAAGTTCCAACTGGTTTGTAATAGCTTCACGTGAGACAAGTAGCGCCACCTACATTTGCCTAGGGAAATATATATGCTGATAACTAAGTTCCATGATTTGCCTATAGCGGCGCTGGTAGCTATGCTCGCTAGAGCTATTTAAAGACACATCCACAGAGAAATATATTTGCTTATGCTTGTAAAGCGGCCTTATTATTATTAATTAATCATTATATAAAGAGGTAATGTTTGTGAATTGTGACGTTGTAGGGGGGTAATCTCTGGATCTACTAAACCGATTTTAACAATTATTTTAGTTAGCAATAGAAAGCCACGTTATCAATTGGCTTTATACTTATAAGAACAAAAAAATATCTTAGCGGAAGCGAAGCGTGGGCGGGCCGCTAGTTATTAATATACTTAAGATGTTTTGGCAAATATAAATCTAACAAATCTTATATTATTCCTATTTGATTATAAGAAAAAATCGTATTTAATAACAAGACTATAACATAATATGATAATATAATCCAGATCGCGATCATCAGGGCCAGCAGTATGTGTATCCGTGGCACCCGCCACAGATGGCAGCGCTCTGGTCTCTGCGAGGATGGAGCCGCACTCCCCAACGGCTTATCATGATCCCAACAGTTAAAATTGCTAATATTTTCTTAAATATATGTGTGTTAATTTAGTAATTTATATTTATAAACAAGTATGTAATCAATTTATGTGACAATAAATAAAATGTTTTTTTTTCTATAACATAATATGTACTTACTTGTAAAAGCTACATAAAAGAGCTGAGCTTACGGACAAAAGCATATTATCATAACTTTATAGAAATGCCCATTAAATGTTTCAAATAGATCTACTTTGGATTGGAGTAAAAGACAACATCGTTGTCGACGATTTCGTTGGACAAAGGTCTTTGTACATATAGAATTTCCGTGGATATTTACATTAATAAAAAATAAGGTAAGTAACTATATACATACATATACAATGGTATTTAAATAATATCATTTATCTAAGATGATTCTTGCTGTTAAATCATATTATTTATATTACCATATGATTAAATAACTATATATCACTCAAATGAATCCGGACGGTAGAGTTGCTGTAGGTTCGGACCCATTCTTAGAATTTACGATAACGCTACTAATAATTTATTTGACAGGTCAAAACGAGCGTCTTCCTTAAGATTTTGTTTTCCTTTAGATTCAAATTTCCCCAATATAAGTATTCCTCTATTTATATGTTTATAACTGAATAATTTTATATATTTATAATCCCCTTCTGATGATAAATGATTATCATCGTGTTTACATCATATCCCCAGGAACGATCGGCGGCATGCCAATTCTTACTTTATTATTATTACCACAAAGTATTGCCAGTAAGAAATATTTTTTATCAAATCTCCTCGAAAAAAGGTGGTTTATTCTCTCTTTACAGAGACCAAAATAACGCTTTTATCCCTTTTCACTAAAAGTGATTTGAATTAGGATTGTGGATATTGTTAGTAAAAGTCAATCACCAAAGAGATTAATCACGAATCTTATAAACAAGTCACAGGCTGTGTGAAAATAAATCACACGTGTTAAATTAAAAAAAAAAAGTTTAAGGTTACAATTTCTGGTGATATGTTTACATAAACATAAATATGTATGTAGGCGACACTAAGCTACCAGCCCGTGCTACCAGCTTCCACGCAGTAGACGTGAAGTACCTAATATACAATTTCTAAGAGAAAACTATTAAACACAACGGGGGTTGGGTAAAGCTTTGAGCAGGCGCGCACGCACGCTGGATTCTTCGAAATCCTGTTGATGGTAAGCCGTGTCCTTGAGTATACTTGAGATACAAGACACAGAAGACCCGAAGTAATATACTATATTTAGGAAAAGTTTCTTTAGCATAAGGAGGTTGTGTTAACCTTTGGTCGGTATGTATGCGTGCTCACGCAAGCATGCTGCAGCAGTGAACGTCTTGGGGCAGGCGGACTCCATCCTTTATGTACATACTTGAGACACCAGGCTACTTGGCCGAAGACGTGGAGTAATTTGAAGCTCATTTCACCACTCCTAAGAATAAGTATATGAAGCATAAAGGAGATTTTCCTAACCTTTGGTCGGTATGTATGCGCGCGTGCTCACGCAAACGTGCTGCCGCAGTGAACGTCTTGGGGCAGGCGGACTCTGTCCTTTAAGTACATACTTACAGTATACAGTACAGTACATACTTGAGATATACTACTTGCCTGAAGACGTGGAGTAATTTGAAGCTCAATTCACCACTCCTAAGAATAGTATATTAAGCATAAAGGAGGTTTTCCTAACCTTTGGTTGGTATGTATGCGCGCGTGCTCAGGCAAGCGTGCTACCGCAGTGAATGTCTTGGGGTAGGCGGACTCTGTCCTTTAAGTACATACTTGAGATACCAGGCTACTTGCCTGAAGACGTGGAGTAATTTGAAGCTCAATTCACCACTCCTAAGAATAAGTATATCAAGCATAAAGGAGGTTTTCCTAACATTTGGTCGGTATGTATGCGCCCGTGCTTACGCAAGCGTGCTGCCGCAGTGAACGTCTTGGGGCAGGCGGACTCTGTCCTTTATGATTATTATTTACTTGAGACACCAGGCTACTTGGCAGAAGACGTGAAGTAATTTGAAGCTCAATTCACCACTCCTAAGAATATGTAGTCAATAAGCAATAAGGAGGTTTTCCTAACCTTTGGTCGGTATGTATGCGCGCGTGCTCACGCAAGCGTGCTGCCGCAGTGAACGTCTTGGGGCAGGCGGCGCACGCGAACGGCCGCTCCCCGGTGTGCGTCCGCCGATGGTCGTCTCGCTCCACCTGCCACCGTCATTCACACGCATTACTTACCAGTAGATAGCTATAGGGAAAAACTATGGGAATTGTCTTGTGTGGCGCGGCGGTTGCGAACACTGATGGCCATGCGTTAACTAGGTCTTTTGGATTCTGAATGCAAAAGTAACGGCCGCACACAGGACGTCAATCGACTTTTAAGTTTCATATAAGTTGTTGTATTCATTGCGATAACAATGGAATGAGACAACACGTGGCTAAACCTTTTATGTCCACAATTACTATTTTATTTGGTTTCTTATGTGCCCCCTGATTTAAAAACGAGACAAAAAGGGTTTTTTTTGTTAATTTAGGTCTTAGGTAACTTTTACATTTTGATCGGAAAGTGCACCCTACCACCATATATGTATAATCAGGAAGCGGCACTTATATCAAATTGTGACTGAATATTTTGTCTATATTAATGGCCGTATGGCTATCGCGAATGCAGTGACTAGGTCTTATGGATTCTGAATGCAAAAGTAACGGCCGCACTTAGAGACGACAATGAATTAAGTTTCATCATATGTATTGTTTTCTTTGTGATAAAAATAAAATAAGACCACACGTGACTAGTTGAGGGTGTTTTTCTCAAAAACAAACCGATTGCATCATAAATAAATTATATTTGTCCATAAAAAACTTTGAGCTGTTGTTTTCTAGAAAAAAATGTAATGAAATCGTAAAATTAAATAAATAAATATTTCCAACACTCACACCAAATAGCCTAGCCCCAAAGTAAGCACTGTAAGGCTTGTGTTTTGGGATACTAGGGTTACAGATAGAATGCATATACTACATATACTAATACATATTAAACATCCATGACTGGAGTACAAAAATGCTCGTATTCATCACACAAACATCTGCCTCCGCCGGGATTCGAACCTCTCGAGTCGGCGACACCATGAAACCCGGCGTACAAACCACTCGGCCACGGAGGTCGTCAAACTCAACCAAAGATAGAGCTTTAAATATCAAATCTTCACGTAACTTTCATGTAATTGTTACTTCATCGATTCCTTATTTAATGAAATTGAATTATTACTAGTAGATATAAAAATAGACGACAAATCAAGCTACTCTCATACTAATTAGCTTAGTAACCACCAACCTTGACTTTGAACGCCTTGGGGCATAGATCACATGGATAAGGGCGCTCCCCTGTATGCATTCGCATGTGAATTGCTAAATGGCCAGACTGGTTGAAGCGACGGCCACAAATGCGACACGGGTAGCCCTAGAAATTATAATTGATCAATAAGTCAAGCAGTAAAATGCTTAAAAAAACCAGGGTTTGCACTCCGGGAGTGCCGGCAGAAGTGAAAACTTGAATATTAACGTTGTGCATTTTTGATATTTTGGAATGGTTAGGGAATAATATTGCACGAATTGCTTTAATTATCAGTATAAAAGTACTATCATGTATGTGGTAGACTACAATATTTATTAAGTGCGCTATTGTTCACTCAAAATGGTCCTAAATCCCGACTTGGCAAAAAAAAAACTGGCAACGCTGATGTGTACCTACTATTGACTGCAGATGCAGCCGGGACCAACGGATTCTTTATTTAAGCTTTAAAGCTTTTCCATATCTTTCAGATTGCGATAGTCTCGTGATCGTGCAGCATTATGAAACTTAAAACCACTTCCTTACAAAGTTTCCTAACCTAAAACATAGGTACTTTAAAGTTATTTTTTTTATGATTCCGAAATTCACGCCTTGATATCGTGGAGGTTTTGGATGTAAATAGGTAAATTATAGGTTTTTGCTTTTAAATAATCACTGATTTTGGCCATAGATTTATTAATGAACAAACTTACAGGTTTCTTCACTTTGTGCATTTTCTTGTGCGTGTGTAAAGCGCACATACTTCCTAGGACTTTGTCACATTCTTCGCAGATGAAGGCAGGTATAGGAGAGCCTGGTGGACGGTCCTCGCCGCGCTTGTGTTTATAAAGTTCCCTAGAAAATATACAAATTGGAAATCGTTTATTAAATTTAAGATGTAACAAGCACTTTTGAATGTCAGACTACACCCGGTAGGCTTGCAAATCTACGCAGAAGACCTTGTAATGAAAATAGCCGGCATAAAACAAAATTAGAAATAATGTCCGTTAAGCTAGAATGGCAAAGTGCATCAATTAGTGCTAGTTTAGTGCTAATTTAGTGCCAAAACCTGAAATTTAATGCTCTCATAGTTACGCGAAAAATTAGAACACTGCCAGCTTTTAATTAAGCTAGCAGTGTATTTCCTGAAACGCCTATATTAACGCGGTATAGAACTAAAACAATGCATAGGGAATTTAGTGCTTAATGAGTGCTGGCAGTATCTGATAAAAAATTTCGAAAAAAAAAAAATATTTTTTATCAATCAAAACTGCTAGTTTGACAGTCTGAGCAAGTCACCGGGTTGAATACATCGCTCTGGATCGACGATGTATGATCATCAACGGGTAATAATTTAGTGCTCAATGAGTGCTGGCAGTATGTGATAAAAAAATTTTAGCAACGAAACTGCTAGTAGGGCAGTCTGAGCAAGTCACCGGGTTGAATACATCACTCTGGATCGAAGATCTATGATAATCAACGATTAATAATTTAGTACTCAATGAGTGCTGGCATTATGTGAAAAAAAAATATCAATCGAAACTGCTAGTATGACAGTCTGAGCAAGTGATCGGGTTGAATACATCACTCTGGATCAAAGATCTATGATAATCAACGGTTAATAATTTAGTGCTCAATGAGTGCTGCCAGTACGTTATAAAAAAATGATTTTTTTTATTTTTTATCAATCAAAACTGCTAGTATGTCAGTCTGAGCAAGTGACCGGGTTCAATACATCACTCTGGATCGAAGATCTATGATAATCAACGGTTAATAATTTAGTGCTCAATGAGTGCTGGCATTATGTGATAAAAAATTTAGAAAAAAAGATTTTTTTGCATGGCAGTCTGAGCAAGTGACCGGGTTGAAAATAATCTGTGCTGGCATTATGTGATAAAGGACATTGCTCGTTCCCCATACATTGAATGCCCTAGAACGCCCAGCAATGAGAAAATGCTAGTTGTGTTCGGAATCATTCATAAACTCTAATTAGGCATTTGTTGAGATACGGACAACTTGAGGAACCGTGGCCTACTACAGAATGTATTTGTTTTGAGGTTATAATTATTATACTTAATCGTAAAAGATGTACACTTTATATATTCTGAATAGATTTAGTGTTTACCTCTATGTAAGTACTAAAATAATATGCATTAAATGAACATAGAATGCAATTAATAATAAAAATAATAAATGCTTATATTCATATTGATTAATGAGTGTTGTCAGTTGGCACCTACGATACCTATACCTTACCTGTAGTAATAATAGATTTCTTTTCAAATGAAATGTTCAGTCTTTCCATTTACCTGTTTCTATATTTCACTATCGGTAATTAGGTATGTACCTGGTTATCATTATGATTTTCATAAAAATAAACAGATATTACATGGAATGTGAGTATAAACTATCTTTACATAATTTCAGAAATAATCTTTTTATAAATATAATACTAGTAATAAGTATTATTAACTAAGGTATCTCTATTTTTCTTTTGATAAATACCTATGGTCGCCTCTAATGCATTTATTAAGGTAAACAATCTTGGCACAACTTTTTAACAGAATCACCCATTTAATAATAAAATATTAACGAAGCCAATAAACTATTAAAATAAATCGTTATTATAGACTGAAACCTTTTGAATTTAGTTATCAGTTGAATTTTAATGCTGTTTCTTCAATAAAAAGGAGTGCCAAGTTGGATGAATAGACTGTAGTATCTAGTAACAGAACTTTATTTCTTTATTTTTTTAAACAGATTGTCCGTTTACTATGATTAATTGCTAATATGTTAAAAAATAATATAAAGATAATAGTGAAGGACATTCTTTTGGGCAAGCTAGGGCCGATTTCGTCGATGTCCTTTGGAAGTAAGAAACATACGCGCAAGCGCCCTGGGCTTGAAAAAAAAATAAAATTCCTAACTTCTCATCACATACAGGCAGCACTCATTAAGGACTAAATTATTGACCGTTGATTATTCATAAATCTTCGATCCATAGTGATGTATTCAACCAGGTCACTTGCTCAGATTGTCGTACTAGCAGTTTTGATTATTAAAAATAAATAATTCCAAATTTTTTATCACATACTAGCGGCACTCATTGAGCACTAAATTATTAATCGTTGATTATCATAGATCTTCGATCCAGAGTGATGTATTCAACCCGGTCACTTGCTCAGACTGCCCTACTAGCAGTTTTGATTGATAAAAAAAATCGTTTATTTTTATCAGATACTGCCAGCACTCATTGAGCACTAAATTATTAACCGTTGATGATCATAGATCTTCGATCCAGAGTGATGTATTCAACCCGGTGACTTGCTCAGACTGTCATACTAGCAGTTTTGATTGATAAAAAAATCGTTTTTTTTTATCAGATACTGCCAGCACTCATTGAGCACTAAATTATTAACCGTTGATTATCATAGATCTTCGATCCAGAGTTATGTATTCAATCCGGTCACTTGCTCAGACTGTCATACTAGCAGTTTTGATTGATAAAAATAAAAACAATTAAAATATTCCAAATTTTTTATCACATAATGCCAGCACTCATTGGGCACTAAATTATTAACCGTTGATTATCATAGATCTTCGATCCAGAGTGATGTATTCAACCCGATCACTTGCTCAGACTGTCATACTAGCAGTTTCGATTGATATTTTTTTTCCATTTTTTTTTCACATAATGCCAGCACTCATTGAGCACTAAATTATTAATCGTTGATTATCATAGATCTTCGGTCCAGAGTGATGTATTCAACCCGGTGACTTGCTCAGACTGCCCTACTAGCAGTTTCGTTGCTAAAATTTTTATTTTTTCGATTTTTTTATCACATACTGCCAGCACTCATTGAGCACTAAATTATTACCCGTTGATGATCATACATCTTCGATCCAGAGCGATGTATTCAACCCGGTGACTTGCTCAGACTGTCAAACTAGCAGTTTTGATTGATAAAAAAAAAATTTTTTTCGAAATTTTTTATCAGATACTGCCAGCACTCATTAAGCACTAAATTCCCTATGCATTGCTTTAGTTCTATACCGCGTTAGTATAGGCGTTTCAGGAAATACACTGCTAGCTTAATTAAAAGCTGGCAGTGTTCTAATTTTTCGCGAAACTATGAGAGCATTAAATTTCAGGTTTTGGCACTAAATTAGCACTAAACTAGGACTAATTGATGCACTTTTTAGTAAGCGATTCTGCTCACTTTGCCATGCTAGCTTAACAGACGTTTAGAAATACATTACTTAGGTGTAAGTATAGAGAAGCTTTGGATCTCTATATAAGCATGGTTACAAGCAAAATTCAACGAAAGTCGAATCCGATAAATATACATGCAATTTTACCAGCAAAAACTTTCTTTTTTGACGAACTGAAGCAACGTTTCCGGTAAATAAATATTTAGGCAATATAATTTTCCGGAGATGAAAAATAATAACATAACGTTTTAAACTTGCCCAAAATCGTTACTATAGTGTTTTTATTGTATTTAAACATTAAACTGCTAAGTAGGTTGTAGGTAGTTTAAGTTAATATTTATTAAATAAACCAGCCAAGTGCGTGTCGTGCCACGCGCAGTGTAGGGTTCCGTAGTTGCTTGTCGTTACCACAATATATTTGAGTAGAATTGTCTGTATCGTGAAAACTTCACTGGAGCGAACGAAAAAACATTTTTAATGTTAAAAATCTATTAATATTAAACTATGTAATTCAACTAAAATATCTACTTATATCAAAGTCAAACTGCGTCTGAAACTCAAAATCCATTGAAAATGTTTTTTCGTTCGCTCCAGTATGCCCCCATTTTCGCTGAAAGTGCGACTCGCCCGTGACACCCCGAGGTTTAGGGCCACGAGGACGTATGAGAGCTCAAAAGACATTTTTTTTTTTGAAAAGTAAAAAACTTTTTGGAAATCGAAAAAAAACGACTTTTTTCCGAAAACTCGTGTGTTTTCACAGAAAATTTCCGATATCTAGAGAACGGGGACGAATTTCAAAAATATGAAAAATAAGCACCTCAGTATTGATTGAACCATGGAACATTTTAGGTCATTGCACTTTTTTTCGAAAATCACGTTTGCTTTTCTCTGAAAAGCTCCCCTCAACTTAACTCTATTATTTTTCAATTAGAAAGAGTTAAAATAAAATAAGGGAGCGGAATTGAGTAAAATAAGGTTTTACTTTTCCCAAAAAGCTCCTCTCAACTTAACTCTATTCTTTTTCAGTTAGAGAGAGATGAAATTAATGAGCGAAATTGAGTAAAATTAGGTTTTACTTTTCTCAAAAAGCTCTCCTTAAAAAGCTCTCCTCAACTTACTGCTGTTATTTTTAAGTGACAAAGAGAGATTACATTAGTAAGCGGAATTCAGTAAAATTAGGTTTTTCTCCTCTAAAAAGCTAGCCTCAGCTTATCTAGTTTTAGAGAGAGCAAGAGAGATATTGATGGATTGGAGATCATTAAAATAATTAATTGTAAAAAAAAACAAAAACCATAGTGTAATCAAACAGTAACGATTATACCTGGCAGTAACAAAGAGCTGGTTGCAGGAGCCACAATTCCACATCTTGTTATTGTTAGTGTTGTTCATATAACTTCGCCTGGTTGTTCTATTGGCCGCTCGTCGTTGACAGACCAGCGTATGACGTTTTAGCTGATCAGTTGACGAAAACTGAGTGCCGCAAGTTTCGCAGGAGAAGCACACTTCTGGACATTGAGGGGTCCAAGCATCTAAACTACAACGAGCCTAAAAAAATATTAGGGAATCTGATTTTTTTTTCAATTGCTTTAACTAATGAAGTTTTTTGTTATATTTATTTGGCAAACGAGCAATAAATTAATATTTTCAACATTCCCACCAATTAGCCTAGCACCAAAGTAAGCACTGCAAGGCTTGTGTTGTGGGATACTAGGGTAACGAATAGAATACATATACATTACTTATTTAAGAAAATTTTAATAGAAATACATATTAAACATCCATGACTGGAGTACAAATGCTCGTATTCATCACACAAACATCTACTCCCACCGGGATTCGAACCCGGGATTTCTCATGTCAGCGACGCCATGAAACCCGGCTTACAAACCACTCGGCCACGGAGGTCGCCTAAATGAGCAATCTGATTGAATCATGACCCGTTTTTGCATTCCATAGACTATTGAAGGTCTTAGTAAAATGTATAAGCACATCATTACCATCATTAGCCAATTATTACCGCTGCTGGGGCATATGCCTTCTCTATTGTGCAAATTGGTGGGTGCTTACGATTGAAGATGCAGTCAGGACCAACAACTAAACGTATTTTCCAAAAGACCAAGAAGCCGCTGATGAAATTAATCTGTCACCTATTAGAAGGTACAAAACCTGTCATCTATGGAAGACTTACCATATCATCTTCAATGTAATCTTGTTGCTGGTTAGGGCAACATTGTAGGCGATGCTTGTCTAAAGCGTCCGCATCAGCGAACAGACCGTTGCAGCTGTCGCAGACGAACATCTTGTGCAACTTGCGGGAAACCACACTTCCTTTGCCATTGTTGCCTCTACAGCACAACTGCTCTAAAAGAAGTAGTAAAAGTCAGAACATCCTACTTTCTAATATTATAAATGCGAAAGAGTGTCTTTCTGTCTCTATTGTCAATAATTTCTGCAGCGTGCGCGAAATAAAGCTCCGGAGCCAAATGGCAAAAAACGCAACCCTTATAGATTCGTCATGTCCGTCCGTCTGTCCGTCCGTATGTCACAGCCACTTTTATCCGAAACTTTAAGAACTACACTGTTGAAACTTAGTAAGTAGATGTATTCTGTGAACCGCATTAAGATTTTCACAAAAAAATAGAAAAAAAAACAATAAATTTTGGGGGGCCCCATATAATACTTAGAAAAGACACTCAAAAATTTTTTTTCATTAAACTGAATAACACTTCCAAAGTGGTAACCCCCCCCCCCCTCCCCTGTAACTTCTAAAATAAGAGACTAATAAAACTAAAAAAAATATATGATAGGCATAGGTTTGAATGAGATCTAGTGAGTAGTTTCTTTATACGTCATAAATCACAAATCAATTAAAAAAATACACTATTATTAAAACATCGATCAAAGTTACAACGAACTACAAGAACTTTTATATTATGTTACTTTCTGCTACGGAACCCTTCATGGGCGAGCCCGACTCGCACTTGGCCGCTTTTTCTGTACTTTTTTCATACGTTAGGTTACATTGTGGTTACATTATCGAAGTTTTTTTGTTGAAAATAATCTATAAGTAGCCTATGTTCAACTGGGATAATATACACTTCTGGACACATCTATTGGCCCACCTTGTATTTTCAGTTTCGTTTGGTCCTAGCTAAAATTTTATATTAGGTCGAGCAAAAAGTTTTTATGCAGTTTTGAACCTGGCACATTCACAATTTCATTCAATAGTCTTTTTTTGAATTTCGAACACAGAATTTAAAGAAACAAAAGACAATTTGGAGCCTGTTTGTTGATATCAAACAATCGAATACTAGGAAAACTTGGTTTACTTGGATTTAATTCTTGAAAAAGTGATTGATATCTTTGGTTTTGCAACAAACATTACTTATTCTTAACATTAAGGTGAGTTTCTATCAATAATCTATGGATACTTCACCTGAAGTCGCCGCCCAAGCTGTGGCACTTATTCAGGCCGGACACAGCCAAAGAAACGTGAGTGCTCAACTTAATTTAAGTCGATCTGCGGTCCGAAATGACTGGCGGCTTTGTTCGTCGCCAAGGAAGGCCACGATCTCGGGTCACAACTGAAAGGCAGGATCGATTCATCGTGACGACCAGCTTGAGAAATCGTCACCTTACCTCCATTGAGATACAAAAACAAATTCGCGACTTCCACGGAGTATCTGTGAGCGCTCGAACTGTTCGGAGAAGGTTAAAAGAACGCGATATGGTACCACACAAGCCAGCTAATGGGCCCAAACTAACGCGAGCCCACCGAACAGCGCGCCTTCATTTCGCACGCAGTCATTTAAATTGGACACAGCAAGATTGGAGCCGTGTACTCTTTTCTGATGAGTCTAAAATTGTGTTACACGGCAATGATGGAAGGAAGAAGGTCTACCGACGTAAGGGAGAGCGTTTCGCACAATGCTGCTTTGAAGAGAGGGTTGCTTATGGCGGTGGCTCATGGACTGTCTGGGGCGGTATATCCGCGAGGGGCAAAACTCAACTTGAGGTTGTTACAGGACCACGGCTGCCTACATTAAATGCTGAAAGGTACATTGGTGAGTGCATAGAACCTCACGTGATACCATAGGCGGACTATGTGGGCCCAAATTTCCTTTTTATGCATGATAATGCAAGAGCCCATGCGGCCGGCATCGTCAGGGAATATCTTCGGGATGTGAACATCACAGTTATGGACTGCCCAGACATGAACCCCATTGAGCACATGTGGGACGAGCTAAAAAGACGTGTTAGGGCTCGTCAGCCAGTTGCCCAGACGGAGGAGTTGAAAACTGCCATAGAAGAGGAATGGGAGATGATCCCTCAAAATTTCATAGAGCGGTTGATAAACTCTATGCCTAATCGTATGAGAGCTGTGGTAGATGCCCATGGAGGCAACACGCGTTATTAAATTAAACCTTTATTTGCTAAAACATGTTTTTTATTCAAAAATCAATTGCCTTTAACAAGGCGCATATCCAACTTGTTAGGCGTAGCTCCATGTCGTATGGTATTCTGAATTCATATTCAAAACAATACGATCGAAAAAGATGGTAAAATGTATCAGGTTTAAAACTGCATCAACAGTTTTTGTTCAATCTAGCAATCATATTTCGGTAGGGGCCATCGAAACCTAAACTCTAAGGTGGGTCAATAGATGTGTCCAGAAGTGTAGAATTCTAAATGTGAAAGAATTTCTCAAATCGGTCCCGTAGTTTCGGAGCCTATTCAATGCAAACAGACAAACAATCAAATCTTCGCTCTTTATAATATTAAGTATAGATTAGTGCCTCTAGCAGTAATGGCGGTATTACTATAATCTACAAGGAACAGACCTTCGATCAGGAACATACGAACAGACAAATTATTACAACGTACTTTATCCCATTTAATACGTTAAGAGGAATTACTTACCAGTTGGTTCAACTTCTAAGGCTGTAGAAAGTACACGTTCGCATAAGCAGCATACGAGCCAGTCAAATTCAAAGTCCATCTTGTTATTATTAACTTCTGCAATAAAATTAGTAGTAAGTTCTGGTAAAAAAATTAAGTGTTACCTAAACAGAGAATACAAAACTGTACAGATAGCTAGGTCATGTCATCTAAAACTCAGCGATTTCTCCTATTGAATTAGAGTTTTATTAAGCTTGCTAAACGATTTACAATTTTAGTATTGAAAAAAATTATAGTTCATAAGAACTTGATGTGTCCCTAGGTGCATTTTAAATGCCTACTTACCTTCAGTTTTACTATCCGCAATGCTATCGTTAGATAGGAGTATTCCATTATTTTTATCGTTAGTATCAACTGAGGCATGCATTGATATAGTGTGATCCAAGTGATCTGCGTCTGAAGTAAATATCTCGTGGCATATCACACAAGAGTGTAGAGCTAATAGATCCGGTCCTTTTGACTCTGCGTCCTGTGAAAGTCATTAAAGTGAGGTTTTTATTATTAGTAAGTACATTTCTATCGAGGCTTGATATGATTTAATAATTATAAAACAATCGTAAAAATATCAACTACACTAAGATTAAAGGCCCAATCACAAGGCAGAGCGATTTCCTTTCGCGCCAATTTAGAGAGCGCTCTTTGTTCTTTTTAAACTTCTAAAATAGAAAAGCACTATCAGCCTTTAAAATAATAAATGGCGTATACCGAAAAACACTTAAATAATTTAAATTAAGTAATGTCTTTTAACTCTCTCTGTTCGCAAAGATTTCATTTAGGTAGGTATTAATGATTGCGGAGCCTAAGTAATTTGGCGGAAAATGCAGCGTTGTATTGTCATGGTGGGCGGAAATGGTGAACATACTGTTCATGGTGGGCAGTTTATAAAAAAATGATATAATAAACTACTAAAAAACTTAACTTAACCTCTTTTATCAAAGGTAAACCTATATAAAATTTAAAAAAAACTTACCTTGTCCTTATCTGATGAATTTTGTAATGGCAACAGAAATTGATTAACTGTATTATCATCAAGTAGAGTAGGCTCGTAAAAAAATATATTGTCAGATTGTACAAGACATAGTTGCTCATTGCTGTTTTCGATGTTGTGAGTGTTTAAATTTAAATTATTCATATTCTCAATATTGAAGTATCTGCCTGAGTCATTGGACTGATACAATAGGTCATTTTCTACATTCGATATTAATTGTTCTGTAACTGCGACTAATTCAGAGTTACTAATAGACAGGTTATCTATTTTATCGGCGTCATGGGATACACTGTTAAATAACAAATCATCCGCATCATAGTTATCTTTCAGATGATCAGTTAGCTCTTTGTATGGATAGTCAGGTGGATCAAACATCATGTTAATGTAATTTTTCTGTAATCAAATTATAAGCAACATGAAGCTCTATTGAAATACAAATGTTTATAACATTTTCAAACGTCATTTTAACAATAGCTAAAATCCCACATAATTGTTGTTTATTGGGTCCTTAACTACACCAAACACAGTTTTATTTTAAACCCACTACAAAGGTAAAGCTATGGGGATGCATAATCATCCCCATAGCTCTACCTTTCATTTGTTGGAAATGTTTAGATAGAATAACTAAGACCGTGACATATAAAAAAGCAGGTATGTGGCCCTTAAACATAAAACAATGCATATATGCAGGTATCAATAAAGCCTTGTTTTTCTTATTATTAGACAGGCTTAGACTGGCGTTTAGAGAAAAAAAAATAGTGCGGCATAGATATATGGGGCAGACACTCTTAGCTTGCAGACCTTAAACATCTCTCTGTTCTGTTACTGCCCGTAGGTACATGGCTAGCAATCTTGTTCGCTGCACGAAGATAATATTACAGTGGTGTCTATTCTAGCCTGGTTCTCTAAACCTAAAATTAAATTTGACAATAGTGTATCCTTGGTATTCTCTATATAGAATACAAAGGAGAGACTGATGTTTTTTCTTTGAAGTTTAGAGAATCATGCCAGAATCTACACCAATATAATGCCTAAAGTTTTATGTAAGTTTAAGGATCCCTGATCCAACCCAGGAGCAACATAATAAATAGTTAACCTACTCTACCGCTTTGAAAAAATCTATCAGGTGTCTCTAGAGCGTGTAGCGCCCGTGTGTAACGCACACCCTGCACCTTAGGTGAAGCCGCCTCTGAGATTTTTTTATTTTTTTTATAGAGTTTTCTATTTAATTAATAATCAAGGATTAGCCATTGGATACAATTAACATTATGTACCTCACTTATAATGTATTTAGATATTGCTTCGCACATTGAGTGTTACAGAATTTATTGCGAATGGGGTCAACATCCACACCAGATTCAGACGAATTTCAAACTAATATATAACTAAATTAAGAGGGCGTGTAGGAGCTGCGAGCTAAGGTTGAGGATGAGGAAAACTTTAATAAAATGATGTCTGAAAGGAGTAATGCTCAGATCAGCAATGCTTAAAAAAATATTTCTGACATTGACAGCTGACAGCTGACGTTTGCCGTATTTTGTTGTGGTTGTGTCTTTGCCGCTGTTTACTATCTTAGATTAAAGAATAGATTACGTTTAACTAATCACAAAGATGAAAACAGAATCTACACAGCCTGCTGAAAAGCCTAAAATACCCTTGCCGACTCTTTCACAGATAAATGCTGACAGAATTACTCAAGTAAGTATGTTTTTGAGGTTAGGTTCTGTTTCACAAAATTGTGCAATTGTATTGATAAAGATGTGTTTATATTGGAATAATATAAGAAAATAGGCCAGTAAACTAAATAATGGGTATTTAATTTTCATTTAAAATCACTAAAATGCCTATGGGACACATTAAACATAATAAAATACTATGCACAGACTATTGTCTTATTTTCAATACTAATCTAATAAAATTCACAAAATAAAGTCGCTACATAATAGTATTAAACTTATTTTCTACAAATTTAATAAGGCATAATTTCAGTATCCGTATCCCAATTTGGTTTCATTTGCAAATTTCTATTTTGAATGCAATGTATCTTATATAAAAGCTTAACTAGCATTAAATGAACATGGTCTCAGTAGATGAAAACTAAATATTAACTCTTTCGCAATTTTAGCATTGGTACTTATTATCAGCGCCTTTTAAAAACCCAGAATGAGATTTTAATTAGTAGGTAATCATAGCCAACTGAATCTTTTTCTTTAAGGTTATACATAAAATTAAAGCAAGTAAAATATGGATTGTTATGAATACAAAGAATTTTTAATTATATTAATAACTTTAGGTATTATTTACTAAACTTGAAAAATATGCCTTGAACATGTGCATTCATAGTTTTTACAATTAACAAAGTTAAAGTTTAGCCATTCATATCAATAGTACTTTTATCCTTCATAGTTTTCTTGTGGCCAGTTTCAATAATCAACTTCCTGTAAAAGGTAAGGATAATCTGGTTCTGTTACTTAGCAACTGATGATCTAGTAATAAAAATATTTTAGCAACAACCCTCGAGTAGGCCTACCTCTGACTGGAGTTTGATTATTGAAACTGGGTATTAATGTAAAAATCAACTTATCCAAAACTGTTAAATTACTCATGACTTTTAGCTACAGGAAAGATTAGCAAAAATTAACCTATAACCCCCACTGAATATTAGCTATAGGTAAGTTCCTATCTTTTGGAAAACTTAATTGTGATATTTAATTTAACTATTCAAGGTAACATGATGCCAGTGACTATAGGACTTTAATTTTACCTGACATTTTAAAAAAGGTCTCAATTCATATATATTGTGCTTTAAAAACCACTATGTAATTAATGCTATAGCATACATAGTGTTAACACATGTTCCCAAACATCACATTGTATGTAACTATCCATACTAATATTTCATATTTGAAAGAAGCTGAGTTTGTTTCCATGCCTTAGTCACCAAATTGGTAGCATGACAATAAAGGGATTTATGGACAAAAATAGGCCACCCTATTGTGATAGTCATCAGTCTGTATGGAAAGTCAATTATTTTGAATATAAAGTTGAGAGCACCCACTAGTATTGTGCAAAGAATATGAATACCACATTAGAAAATAATATTTACTGTAAAAAAGTAGTATTTGCTTTAAATTTATAATTTCAGTCACATTTCCTGTTTAAGACTGTGATTGTTATTACTCAAGTAGTGTTCAGAATGAAAAGTAAATAATAAAATATCTAACTATTTTATATTCAACAATATATGTATGTTTGTGAAAAGTCCAGAAATATATTTTGTTATACATAGTTTCTATTATTGTATTAATAAATTCATGTTGGTTGCAGTATTTATAACTTATTAATTAGGTAGTAGCCAACTGGTATTCATTCAAAGCCACAAAATCTATACAACATTCCTCATTGAATTGCACATCCAAACTACCATGGCCTTACTGTTCACAGCTTGCAACCCAGTATTGGTCTCCGCAAACTAAGGAAAATCACTTACCTTATGATGCTGCAATTGTGGAGTCAATATACCAGGCAGAAATCCTTGGGTCAAGGTAAGGAATTTAAGATATCATCAATTATGCACCCACTTCAAAGAAAGTCTAAGCCTAACTGATCAAAACAAATGAACAGGGAAGGTCAATAGCCTTATAGATTGAGGGCATTGACCTATTTATTACTTTTATTTTGGAAATTGGCCAGTAATAATTTTGTGTTAGGTGCATGAGTAGTATTTATTAATATTGAAGGCAAATTAATAATAGCAATTAATGAAAATAAATATTAAATAAAACTTTATTCATAATTTATTATATGGAGAGGTAAAAATAAAATGAATATTTTGTCTTATTATTAGGAATGTAAATACATAACACAAATGAATATGACATATTATTTAGATAAAGATATATTTATTTATCTTATCACACACATTATACAGTAAGTATTATTACAATTGGTTTTATATTAATAGGTATCAGAAAGTGTGTGATCTAGAGCCTAAACTAGGGCGACCCTATATTTCAGGACTCCAGCTCCCACCCGCGAATATACCTCAGTACCGCTTGCATAGTTTTTTTATTTAGGTGTTCTTAGACAACTCCTATAAAATAAATATTATAAAACACTGTTGAAGAAGTATCTTCTGTAGTAACAGCATACTATTGAGAGATGATTAAAATAATCATGTCAGATTTATATTTCAGATTTATCTGTTTGTTTTTGGCGTAGCTATCAATACAACCATTAGAGCGTGCGCTGGGTTAAGCTCGCCACGGAGCGGACATTCGCGCCGCGAGCCGTTTTTCAGTAATTTCATAGGACAGCGCGGCGCGAGAGTCAAAGTATCCAAGCGCATCCCCCTCTCCGTGCACCCGCTTAACGCAGCGCAGGCTCTTAAACGCACTAAGGGCTATCTTTAAATTTCCCTTCCACTTACCACTTTTATACACAGAAAATACTAGATTTAATATTTCTTAAGGCTAACCAGCAGCCTATCGTCACCTACCATTGATTCCGAAAATATTGTGCCTTTTGATATATTATATCTTGTCCCTGAAATTCCTTAGTTATTTTTACCCGGCTGCGCAATGCAAGAGCGCGAAGCGCGACGCGCAGACAGGGTTATGTGTTTAACAGTCTATATATGTATGTTTGTTCCTTTGTGGCACACTAGAGACCAAACGCCTGGACCGATTTTGATGATTCATACATCAATCGATTCGTCTCAATCATGGAAGTGCTACTAAAGATATGATAGTAATCAAAATTCAATATGGGCAAAATTAGGCGCCATATTCTGACGAAGAAAAAAAATAAGTTGCCAAAATATGTCGAGTGAGGTATCACTATCTAGATAATCAAAAATCATATTTAGGTTCCTAACACCATTTTTCATTTTATGTGATTGTTTAGGATCTACAACGCTTTAAAGTTGTATATTAACCACTTACGCTTTTAATTTCAATCTTATGTTTATATGGATCTTTGTTACTCTTTCACCTAAAAAATACTGAATGGATTTTAATGAAACTTAACAGTAATATAGCTCATATATGATAATTACATATATATAATAATTTATCTAGTTATTGAGTGAATTGGCCAATATATAACAATAAGTGTCACATAAGACGGAAAGAAATCTCCCATCTGCGAGCCATTTTGGCTGCACTGCAAAAACAATAAAAGTTGAAACAATGTAATGTAGAGTGAAAATGTATCTCTTAAATAGTTCTAAAAAAAAGTCCGTGACACCATATATCTATTTTTAATGTGTAAGTCATTACCGCTAAAATTGTGAATCAAAACTAAAATATTATTTGATATAGCTGTTTCCAAAATGCACATTTTGACTAACAAAACATTTTTTATCAAACCAAATACTTTTATCGCTTTTGATATTTAAAGGCGATAAACTTTGCTTTTTACACTATGTCATTTCGACAAATATTTAAAAAGTTACAACGATGACAAAGTGATAGCGCGGTGTACTATGTAAAAGAAAAAAAATGGGGTATTCGCAGTATCTAATCCTATACGAAGTACTAACAATAAAACTGTGATACAGTTCCTTCTTATTAAATGACGAAAAATATATTATCATAATAGGTATTTATGATTATTGAATTTTAATGAAAAACTCAGAATTTTACTGTTTTTTATTTTTTTAACGATATTACTTAATGTAACAAAAAAGGTTTACTTAATATAATGACAAATAACCCATTTTTCTAGTAGTAATAGTAGTACATACTTATTGGAATCCCTGTATTTATTAATCAGCTCGCGATAATATTGGTTTTGTGATAATTCTGCAAAATTCAAAGTAAATAATGTAGATTTTTATAGGTAAATCACCCCTTTCATCACCCTACGCCTATAAGTATTGCGATGTTGTAGCTAAGAACCAAGTTCCCATCTACTTCTATATGGGAACTCGGGCGAAATTTATTTATCGGGATAAAATATAGCCTATGTCACTCGCACAAAATGTATTTAAATAAAGAAAAATGTTATAATAAATAATGTAGCTACCTTATGATGAATTAATATTTGAAACCGGTTCAGTAGTTTGACAGATTACCTATTTGTTACAAACATACAAATCCTCCCTCTTTATAATATTAGTATAGATAGTTAGGATAAGATAAGTATTTAATTGATGAAAAAGATTTAAAAATAAAGTAAGTAATAGGTTTATTTGATTATATTTGTAAAAGTTACTCAGCATTTGTGCTTAACAGTGATACGTTATTCGGTATTTTTTTAAACAAAAAAATAATTTGGAAAATAATTGCCATGATTGCACTACTGGGGTACTCCCAGTACTCTTCATTCGAGCTTTACACTACCAATAAAAAAGGGTCACACAAAGTCTTTGACCTGTTAAATGTGAACGCTTTAAAAGGAAACTACAAAAATTGATAATAAATGAGATTGCTATGGTGCTCTACCTAACGTTATGAAAATTTTATTATGCGCCTTTAGTTTAATCAAATATTATAAACTTTGCTTTGGTGTATATGTCTTAATAAATCAATCTTTTAGACCGACGCAAGGTACTCAATAATTCCCGCGATATTAATTCCCTTACTGAAGTAACAAGACTACGGTATATACCGTCTTAAAATACAAACTAACTAAAAAGTGTGAAATAAAAAAGGTAAATTTAAAAAATCAAAAAACCCGACTGCTTAATTATACTTCAAATAAAAACTGAAAAGAAAAAAACAAGTCCAGTAGTCTATAATTCTTTTAATAAGGAACAAAGCTACTTTAACAGTCGGGACCCACTGTTGAAAAATATTATGTATTCTTGAATATCTAATGGGTCCCGACTATTAAAGTAGCTTTGTTCCTTATTAAAATAATTATAGACTACTGGACTTGTTTTTTTCTTTTCAGTTTTTATTTGAAGTATAATTAAGCAGTCGGGTTTTTTGATTTTTTAGATTTACCTTTTTTGTATTCCATGATTCCATGTAAGAATACGGTAATTGTATTTCATGTTAATTTCTTTTACAGCTTTTCAGTTCGAAGGATCATGATGCTGGAGTTCTCGCAGTACTTGGAGAGCTACTTGTGGCCATACTACGAGGCGGGTAAAGCGTCACACGCGCACATGATGTCAATAGTGGTCATGATCAACGAAAAGTTCAGAGAACGGGTGCCTGCTTGGCAGGTAAGATATAATGATATCGATATATGAATAAAAATAAAGCAATATCTTAATGTTTTATTATTTAGTTTGATGTAAAGAAATAATCTCCAGATATCTCAGATGCTATGATAGTTAAAACAAAACATGAAAACTCAACTCTAGCTTACAGGCGAACACTGTTCTTTAGTATTTATTTTAGTATTCTCCTGCCGTGAGTAAAGCTTCTTTATAGGGCTCCATGGGGTAGAGGATAATGTCACTATTTCCGTAAATATCCTGGTAACGGCAAAATCTATTTAATACTGTATGCCCAAAAACGAACATCCAGTCTTTTATCAAATGTTTAGATTTTTGAGAATTGATATTTTTTAATCATAAAGCTATTCAAACTTTCAGGCATTCCTGAAGAAACCAGATCACTTCCCAGCGTTCTTTGAGCAAGTGCTGCGAGCAACAGTAGCCGACGACCATACGAGTAAAAACATGCGGGAGCAAACTGCGCTGTTGCTCTTCCTGAACCACTGCTTTGGCAGTATGGAGGTTCAACTTTGCAGGGACCAAGTCAAGAGATTAGTTTCCCTCAGCATGTGGATTAGTTTACAAGAAGGTTAGTTTTGCAATATTTGTCCATAACATCAGAGTAGAATAATAGAGGAGTTTGATGGGCCATGGAAGCGATCTGCGATCGTGGAAGTTAGGCAGCTGTATATCTTGGATGCAAAAAAGTTGAAAGGTACAAGGAAATAGAGTGAATATAGCATCAGGAAGCCTACTCTGATTAATCGAATAACGAGATTTCGTAACTAAGCACGTTTATTATTCTTTTCGAATATTCGTACACCTGAAAATCTTGAGGTATAAATTATTTCAGCCTACCCTAGAAAAAGTTAATCTGTCGAATTTTAACCCCAAATAGACGAAGAGAAATTTCGTTCGAACGTTATTCGTTATCGAAAGTTCGTTTTGCAGCAAGAGAGTATGTAAACCTCCAGAAGATACTGTGGTCGGATTACGAACTCTATATGCCAGACAAGTTCTATAGTTATAGCACAAACGCACAGTAGAGTGGAAGACCCGCTTCTAACCGCTGTTTTTGCCTGGGGTTAATAGTTCATAATATGCCCTGCTAGCTATACACAACGCAATCGAGAACCTGAGATTTTCGTTCCGTCCATTGTGGCGCTGTTCAAATTTCCATTCAAAACTTCTTGACATTTGACGCGTAACGAGATCGAATTGAACTATTCGAATTCTATATAGGTTCGTGCTAAGGTAACTGGTGCTAAGGCTAACAGTATGTGAGCCCACAATGCTAAATAGGGATTTACTCGAGCGTCGTTGGGACCTATTGGATTGTGAAGGTAAAATGCTTAAAAGAAAAAAATATATATAATGTATACCTTTTCACAGGTGGGGGGGTAGGTGTACAGGTTTGCAAAAATGTAAAAAAAAACAGTCACAGACATACACGATCGCGTCAGATATTAATAGTGTGATCGCCCCATTCGTCTCTGATAACGGAAAAGTCTGTCGGTTTGCAAGGTGATTAAAAAAAAGTTATTCGAGCGCGTCAGACGTTGACAAGGGATGTTATGTGCAGTCTCTAGTTGACTAAAACGACTAGTTTAGATTAGCGTAGTAGATTCAAACGACTGATGATTTGGACGCAACCTTAAAAAATGTCTGCTTTTTGAAATTGCAAAAAAAAGTGTTCTTGAAATACTCGAGCGCGTCAGATTATCATACAGTCGCTTCGCCTTGATACCCTTAACGTACTGACCAATAATATGACAATTATGTGGAGAAATATCCATAATCCGATGGTTTAAAAAAAATAAAACCTTTTTCAATTCATAATATTTTATTAAAATCATCGAATGAAATAAATACGATATAAAATACATAAATGTATACAGGTAAAATTATATCCTGTATTTAATAAAAAAATATAACCTATAACAACGATATTTTTGAAGTGATAACTTCTTATGGGAGGGTGAACCGCCTCGTTACGTAACGCGTTACGGCACCAGGCTGTCTGGCTTCCCTTCTTACGCATACGGCAGAGAAAGGCAGGTTCCTCCTCTGTCACTCTAACCCGCAGCGCCGCTAAAACTAGTTTAAGTTATCACTTCGGTCGTGCGTCTCGACCCGCACACGCTTTTTTTAAAATTTCATATTCGAACTCCGGACCGAGCGTGAAGATGTGTGTAGTTGCGTGTACAGACCGTGAAGTTTGGCATTCTGTTCTATGACTAACTCGTCCGGGACCAAGCGTTGAAATGTGTGTATGCATCCGTGACCAACGGCTTGACGTGCTTTCGTTGATTTTATAAGTATGCTCTTTGAAAATACTTGTCTTTTGCACTATGAATATTCGTGAACGGAAAAATATATCATAACATTCAAATGAATCCCACAGGTAGAAGAAATCAGGAATTCAAAGCGGTGCCGAAATGGCGCAAGTACTGGCGAGCGATACAGAAGAAAGATAAGCCAGAGCTTCTTGAGAAGTTGAACTGGGAGCGACGATACTTGCAGCGGCTTATGGTGAAGTTTATGCGAGTGCTTGAAGCTATCCCCGAAACTGGAGATATAGACTCTAATGTCGTGAGGTAAGGAACAAATTATAGTGTGCCTGATAATGTAATTCATTGAAAAACAAAAAAAAATATTACAAACAGCTATATTAAAACGTTTTTAACAAAAATAAAAACTGACTTCATAAAAAGCTTAAAAATGAAGTAAGATCAACTTTATAAGTACTTGGTACATGGTCTGCATTATCTCTTTTATATCTCTGAAAATAACCTAACACGAATTGAGTACTATTTGAAATTGTTTCCACCGAAAGTACTGATCCAACGATAAAAAATATATATATATAATGGATTGAGAACCACCACCCTTTTGAAGTCGGTTACAACCGAAATAATATTAAGATCACTTGTACGACACCATGACACTGCTAATTAAATAAACGAATTAAGTACCTTTTTCAACTATAAAAATGAAGTTATGCCCAAATTTACTAGCATTTGCTTGTGGCTCTGGTTTTTATCGGAACGGTAGGTACTTTTCGTCCTCCAGGCGTTTTTTTTTTGTGATTTAGCCCACAGTGCAGCCTTGTTGCATAAAAATATGTACTTATAATGTGATTCAAACTTACTGGCTGTGAAGTTAACGAAATGTAATAGTAATTTATGTTATTTACGGGATCACGTACCTTGTTTTTGGTGAGTTTCCGATATTTCGGCACTGTTGTAAACGCTAAGAACACGAAGTAACAGTAACTCCGTACCATAACCAGTTAAAAACAGCAATGAGTTACTCCGTGATCATGATGCGTGCAATAGCCGAAATATCAGAAATATAAATGAAGCCTGGATGTACAGTAGAACTCGAATAATAAGCGGAAAACCGAAGGGTTTCTTTTCGTGTCGGCCGTGAAAAACAAAATGGAGGGCTACACAGACCACTACCCTTAGTACGAGTGCGAGCTCACAAAAACTATCATAGTTTTTGTAATTGTAAAACTCGTACTAAGCGTACTGGGGTTACTATTATGTTAGTCAAAAGTCAAAAATTCTTTATTCAAATTGGATGCACAATAGAACTCTTTCGAATCATCCATATTTTTTTCCTACCACCAGTTAAGGACAGTTTTAAGCTGTAGAGAAAAACTGGCGAAAAAAAACTTCACAGCGTTAATTAATTATGTAACAAAATTTATGAAATACATATTACATTGTTACGGTGTCAATACAAAATCATATCATCTTCATCAGAGATAAATGATTGGTGTTGCTACGAGACCAATCACTTATCTATGATCTTCATCATAATTGAAGAAAAATTCTGCCGGAACGTTTGAACAGTTTAAAGCCAAGCATTATTTTTATTTCTAGTATTAAGCGAGTGCTTATCATTATTTATAGGAAATAATTTAATATTTTTTCGAAAATCATTAAAATTTTCATAAAGAGTATCTAGTCTAAGATAGTAAATTGATGGTACAGTTGACAGTCGACAGCATTTTCTCACAGCAGAACACCGTACGACATCATCATCTGCAATCAATACTATCTCGTGATTATCCTTTACAAAGCTAGGTAGGTCATTTATGTAAATTAATAACAAGAAAGGACCAAGAATCGAGCCTTGAAGAACACTCATTTTTACTAACAATCCGGGAAATCTTTTGCCATTAATGTCAACTCTCTAGATCCTATCGCTCAAATATGACACAATGAGATCTAGAGTGCTACCTATAAATCCATAGTGGCGCAGTTTCCTAATGAATGTTTTATGAAAAACGCAGTGACCATAAAAGTTTTAAACAATTAAACGAAATGAAGGTCCGCGGTATTGAAACCTACTCATTATCGCACTAGCTGCTAACTTCACAGCCGCCATAAGGTTCGAATGCACTATACATTATCGTCTTACATCAACGATTTCTTACAGATACTGCGAGAGGTTTCTGGAGCTGATGATAGATTTGGAGGCGTTGTTGCCTACGCGGCGTTTCTTCAACACAGTGATGGACGATTGTCATCTAGTGGTGAGATGCTCGCTAGCAGCCCTCGCTTCCAGGCCCGAAGGTCAGCTGTTCTCACAGGTAAGTGGAACTTTGTCTTTCTAAGTATTTTTGGAAAGAATGTACTTTCCAGACGGTATGGACTTGGCGGATAGGCAAGGGCGTATTTATCCTAGGACTAAGAGGACCATGGCCCGGGGTGGGACTGTGTGGGACGGCTGCAAGAGTTGCGAGAGGCGACAGAAGCCGTAGGAAGGCATTCGTTACTGCCCTATATTTTATATATTCTTAGGGGTACGTAACCGGAGCGCCAGATTTCAAAGTACGCCCTTGGGCTAGGCGAAAAAAACTATTAAGAATTTTCCGCCACAAACGTCACTTGTTTCCTGGCATATTGTGTGTACTTGTTTTCTTATACTCATGCCTCAATTACACTTGTTCGTTAGCTCAAATACGATTGCCAATGGAATTCAGGTAAACGACTAAGTGCAAATGAACGGAGTCGAGTACGCCCGTATTCGGGTAGATTTTGTTTTTTTTCGGTTTGGTTACCCAGCACCTTCTTCCAGCCCGTATTTCAGTGTAAATATTGCTTCGGGTGCCCGACTTGAGTAATGTCTTTCGTGCACCTGAATATGGGCTAACGACCAAGTGTAATTGAGCCAATATTTTTATTTTTAACTTCGTTCCATCCATGGGTTCCATGAAACTCACGTTTGGTTTTTTAAAAGTGAATATTTAAAAATAGGAAATGTAAAGAATGTCAAATTTTCTGCTCTAATAGGGTACTTTTAAAACATACAATTGAATTGAGAACCTCCTCCTTGTTGATTTGAAGTGGGTTTAACACTATACGTCACAACATATGCCCGAGACTTCGTTCGCATGGATGACGGAAAATAACCCCTACCCTTATCCGCTACGAGAATATAAAATTAAATAAAAGCAACGTTTTCAAGGCATACTTTATTTAGTAAATCTGATAAAAATATAATATCAAAATTAAATGCAATACTCACAAAATATAATTCCAAGAAATTATGTACTTAGAAATACAGATAAACGTCTTAGTGCCAGTAAACATATTATGATAATATGTATATCTTACTATACACAAAAAAATCACTAACCACAACAAGCTGCTAGGTGAAGATAGAATAGGACGGATATTTATAGAGATTACATTGTTAGATAATTTTACTTTTCATATAACAATAAAAATATTTATATATAATATGCACTTATACAGTTATGAATACAATGTTCATAGTGTATTTATGGCTTATTGTAAAATACTTATATTTAATGTCTTTTGTTCATTTCCATATGAATACTGATTTAGTATACCTTATTTCAAATAACCAACAGGAACGGCTACGTTGCATTATAGTAACGCGTATTTTTATATCATTATTCATGGCACGACATGGCCCAAGGTCACAATTTTAAAATTTCCATACTTAAAAATATTTTTACCCAAGTAAACTTAACCAAATTCTTTCGACCAACAATTCTATAGATAACGGGTTGCATACAAAATCATAGTTAAAAACTGTCCGCGAGAGTATATATTAAATAAATTTTTATTTAAAGTAATTTAGACTCAAACATTTATGTTAGTATACATTTGCCCTTAATATCTATGTTAGTACAGATTCATGGATATAAATAAAGAACTAAGCTCCACATCCATGTGAGATGGAGCAGCAATGTGCCATATAAGGACAGTCAAACCTGCTGACATCACAGCTAGAATAGTATTGGGGCTGGCCCTCACCCCGCGTGCTATCGAAGAGCATCGCGCGCGCATTGTGTTATAGAAACAATTTACCTGAGTTTCCGCAAACATCGCCGGCGCACTACAGAATCTGGGCAGCCCCATCAACATTCTTAAAGCATTATTATATTGGATGCGGAGAGCGTTATAAGATTTTTGAGTACAGTTAACCCACAAACAGGACGTGTAAAAGGATGTACAATATGCTTGGAAAAGAGTATTACATTAAAAGAGCAACGCCCAAACCTACGAATCAACATATCGCACCTCCGCTCCGGTGCGACACTGTCACTTATGCAAAAAAAAAATTTTTCAGGATGAGCGTTTAAAACTTTAACATCCCAAAACATACAATATTTAAAGATTTTTACGTGATGTAAATCTTATACAGCTTAGCTATTCATCTAACAAAAATTAAAAACTTTAAATATTGTATGGATGTTAAAGTTTTAAACGCTTCTCCTGAAAAAATGATTTTTTTGCATAAGTGACAGTGTCGCACCGGAGGTGCGATATTTGCTCTCACTGACATCGCCCTCCGCTCACTTTCGATATCCTCGTCATCTTGTCCTAAGTATTTGAACTTTGTTACTTGTGCCAGTATTTTCCCGTAAAGTTTACAGGTAATATTCAATTAGGAGCTTGATCGCCCGCGCCAAAGACTATACTTATGCAGCTGCATTTGATTCCCAATGAACAACTACAAATGTGAACCTAATTACAACCATGTCACAAAGAAATAAAGTTACAAATAACGAAATATTATACGACCTTTTACCGACTTTTTTCAATTAATAAGTATATTACACAGCTAATGTGTCGGCTGTGTAATATACTTATTAATTGAAAATAAGATCTCACGCCTCAAGTGAGGATATATTTATTGAGACGAATTTTACGCGCTGACTTACGTTATCTATAGTATTGTGGATCGAATCCAAATTCAGATCAATTTAAGTAATTTACGAGCACTCTCAGTTAGGGCACTTACAATGTTAATTTATTTAATTTCAATATTCAACTCTTAATCTATAATTTAGATTTATTTCTCTTTTAACAAAAAGCTGTACACATGCTTATATATTGACAAGACACATTTTTAAGACACATGATGTTACTACCTACTACTAAATCTCCTACAAGCATCACAGAATCATCTAGCAAATAATGATAATTGTCTCCTCTACTTTTGTGATTGAACTTCCTATTAAATCTAAATGCGACAAATAGTTTCCTTAATCAATAATAACAATATTGTCTTCAATACTTAAAAATAACTTAGTGCCTGTCAAAAGTCATGGAATTTGTGATTCAGTCTGAGTTTTTAGGAATAAATAATATCTTAGTAATTGAATAATTTCACTCAACGTGAGTAAAGCATAAAAGAATATTAGTCAGTAGTAGACATAACAACTTGGATTAGGGGGGAATCGTTACGATTTCCATTAGTGTGCCGTGCAGTAGGGGGTTTTATACAAATATTACTGATCGGCTCAAGTTAATGCAGTGGGTGACAATCCCTTTCCGAGTTCATAATATGTCTGCTACCTTAAAGTTGATGAACAATATCTAATTTTCATTATTTTTCTACAACATTGTCGTTATCGTATTAGTATAAAATTAAATAGTTTCTATAACGAAGCTAAATCCATTTAAATATCTACTGCCATGTTTTAAAAAGAAAATTATTGTAACTTATCTACAATATATGAAACACTTTGTTAAGCATAGCTAACTAAGCATATAAATATATACTATTAGCATTTGAAATATGTATTCCTAGTAATTCCCGCCATTCATATGAGTCATCTCGTCTCCCCACTCACCTGTAGGTACTGGCTGTGCATAGCAACAGCTTTTGCGCAGTAAAAACGTGACATGAGATTGCCTCGCGATACACACGTAAAATACTAATATGGCTTGTAACAAATTCACGACAATATGCGCGTATATAAGACCATCGATGTTCAGCCAAGACATAAGCAGGAATAACCAGGCAGTAGTCATTATCAGGAACAGCTGAAGAAATAAATCGAAACTGAAACAAAATTTGATATGGTTTAAAACTAAACTTATTGCTAAAACAGTTTTAGCACAAAAAAGAAAGCTTTCTCTTCTTTTGGGCATAAAAACTGGCCATTTGTTTGTTGGATCTTGCGCAGGTAAGGCTCAGAAGTTGCCAATCACAAAGAGCAAATATCAAAATGGATAGCATTTAAGGCTCATGAGCGCAGGTCTCTATTATACTCCAATGAGTTATTCGAACATTGAATATAATATTCATGTGTTCAAAAATTATTATCTCTATGGATGTTTTGATTTTAATTTTGTATGTTTTATTACCATTATAATATTGAAAGTGAAATTAGAAACAGGCAAATTAGAATCAAGGTAAAGTATGATGATAGTACAAACAAAACTAGTTTTATTCACTGACTCTTGATTTTAAGTGAAAAATCTTTTACTAAATATTAAATTCTAAAGAGTGTTAATGTTACTTCTGTTTATACTTACCATCCTTTGAGTTTATGATGAATCCTACCATAAATATTTATCCTTCTTATGACTTTTAAAGTAGTCACATAAAAAAATATGTTGAAAATTATGGTGAATGCAACTGGAGTGAAGAATATTGCAATTCCTAGCCAACCTGGAATGGAAAATATTAATTTTATGTATGTATATAAATTAAACAATCTGCATATATTGTTATATCATTTGATTGCAATAAGCAATAAGAATTGGTAGTAACAGTATTTCTATTTCTCTAAGTACACACATCAAAGAAGTCTGATTTACGTAAACTGCAAGTTATATTAATTGATTTGTCATATTATTATCGTTTTATCATTATCAAGTAATAAATCTTTAATGATAGATAATGTTTTTTGGTTTGTTAGTCACTAACTAATAAATTGATTTATTATTAACAAAAGAATATAAGTATTAAAAATCTTTCAAACATTCAAAAAAGTTCATATTGTTATACTCTTTTGATGTAAATTTGTATTCATTAGTACTTTTGGCTCTATAATCTTATTATTGCTTACCCCATTTTTCATTTTATTAGTGTCTACTTACCTATGGTTTCCTGTTCCATATCATCAACCAGTATTGATGATGAGAACTGAGTCCTCATTTTTCTGTTTGGATTTGTGCCTGTGTCAAAGAGGAAATGGGCACAGATTGCCAGTGCAGCCATTATAATGACACTAGACCACACTGCGCTTGAGTAGTAACAGTATTTACGTACATCAGTAACTCTGAGAAATACATTTCTTGATCTGAAATTTAATGTTTTACATATTATTAATATTTTAAATTAATTAGTTAATTCTATATAATGTAGACTAGAAACATACTTGAATGTTTTCCAAATGTAAAATCCAAAACTGTTTAACCAGAAGAAAGCTCCTAAGAGGGATATATACAATATGATATCTGGAAAGTAAAAAAAAAAACATTAGTTGGTTTTGTACTTATCACAAACTTAAGATGAAGAACAGAAGAAAGTTAGATAATGACCTGTTACCATGAAGCTGATATGGTTGCTGTATTCAGTAAAAATTCTTATAAAATCAGCCGCTTGGCTGACAATAAGGCAAACATTTATTGTTGTGATAATATTACCAGCCAAGTCTCTCAATGTCGGGAGAACAAAATATATTATTGCCACAGTAAGGAATAATATTATAGCGATGCCATGAAAAATTGGATTTAGAATTTTTGTCATAAGAAAATTAGTATCTTTCCAATTGATTTTTACTTCTGGTACACACACTAGAGCATATTCGCCTGTGATGTTTGTTTTGGTCATGAAAATCTGTAAAGAAAGTTTGATTACACCTAAAATTTTCCAATGCCTTTGCCAAGTTAACTTTCTTATTTATGAGATGTGTGTATTATTTATTACCTTATCCATACAGTATTTTCGTTGTTCATGGATATAAGATGTAGGTTCTTTGATTTCTGGAATTGGTATTGGTTCATGCAAACTGAATGAATTACTCAGTAATGGATCTTCTTTAATACTGTCTACACTGTGCTCATGAAGGATTATATGACGCATACGTCCATCAGCTAAAATATTTAATCTAGAAACAGAAATCTTCTATTACTCGCTTTTATACAGACATACTCTCTTTTTAAGTATCCACAAACTAACAAATAAATTGGAGTTTATGATTGAGCATACATTACTAAAGAAAGTCAAACACAACTTTATAAGAAAATAAATTATTACATACTCATCTTCTGTATTCCTCAAATAATAAATAGGCCTCATTTGTGTATTTTCACAGTCAGGTAAACCAGTTTCATATTGAAAATGTTTTAATTTAACATCTTTTCCATCTTCAGATTTGAACTGTGGCTGCCACAATGCTGAATTATAAAATCAAAATATTTTTAGAATTCTTTAAATCATTGTATATGAGAGAAGTTCGTTAATATATTGGTTAAAATATACTAAGTTGAAATAACCATAAATTAACCTTTAACATTGGCTAAAGTATTATTATTGTCTCATAATACAAGAATAAATAGAAATGCTACACACTTGTTAACATGATCAATTAGCGTACTCACTTTGATTAAACAATTCAGCCAATCTACAAGACATGTCTATCATTAATTGGTTTACTTCACAACATTTGTTTATCTTGACTGAGTAAATTTTCTCGGCCACATCGTTCAGATTATTTTCTATCTGGTCGGTTTGTTTAGCTTGTGTTTTTGATAAAATTAATAATATAAATAAATACTTAATAAGACACATCGTGATTCATTTCAAGTACTGCACATCGAAAACACTTGCGTTATACTCAGTCTACAACTGCAACACTTAGCGCATACCGAGTACAACCATGTGTTACAATTATGTTTTTCAATAAAAATAATAGAACTGTAACTTCATTTACAAATTAAACATAACTACATAAAAACCATGATTAAAATGAAATAAAATTCACCGTTGAGATCTGGACTGCGTTCCAAACTAACGCCCCAGGTGCAACAAAACAAATGTCGACATTAGTTTCATCAAGTTTCGGTCAAGTCGAAATTCAAACTTCTCAGAGTAAAAAGTTGCACTTAGAACATAGGTTTGGAACGCAGTCCTGTTGTTTGTATGACAAATAACTTTTTTTTCTTTCTCCCATTTAAAAGGCAAAGAAGCACTAAGTCCATGCAGCTTCCTATTACAATGTATTTTTAATTTTCTGTTTCTTGAATTTTATTATTTAAAATGAAATGTGTTGAGTCATCTTTTAAAGATTTTATTTTAAATCGACCGTAATCGGAATAAAATATAAAGAATATGTTATTTTATGTACACTCATGTCGAAATATTCGAATTACGAAATTAAAGATGGTGTTGTAAAGACAAACTTTATAAACGCCCATAGATAAAATATAAAATAAATCTTATTACAGTACTGCTAGCTGTATCGTAATGGTTATTTATGATATTTGTGCTGTAAGTTGGTTATTACAAACGAGTAGTTTGCAAATACCAATTCCGCACGAATGTCATACAAAGCTTTTCAAAATATATGCGAGAAAACAGTTTATTTTTAAAGAAATGAAGCAAATGTTTTTTTAATTATAAAATGGCGCGCATTTATAAATTAGAATCAAATTTTTTGTTTCTTTTTTTAACGTTCGCCCTTTTCCGGGAAGGCAAAGGGAACAATGCCTATACAGCCCAGTCTTCAGGTTTTTTTTACATAAGTATGTGAAAGTGTTTGGCTCGAAACGAATCGTGTCAGCTTTCTCGATAAGCTTTTGTGAGATAATCAACACTATGATAAAATTATCACGTCCACTTGACCGAAATAGCGTATTTTAAAGATTTCACTAAGTCTTCAGTTGCGCAGACAGTTGTAACACAAAATCATACCAATTTTATTTCACAATATCCACTATGAACGAATTTAAGAATAATTTATTTTTAGTATTAAAGTGAGAAAAGGGTATGGATTAAAATCGCTTCCAAGGAGGTACATTCGAAATAAATAAAAACGGACATGTTTTATTCACATGTGATAAAAGTGAAACCTACAAAAATGTGAACACGTAAAAGTCCTTCATGACTAGTTACTGTAAAATACTGGGCAAAACTAAATATTGGTGTCGATTCTAGTATGATTCTCTAAAACTTAACCTTAAATTTGACAGCAGTACATCCTTGTCATTCGCTATACAGAAAGAAAAGGAGAGACTGAAGTTAAATTTAGGTTTAAGTTTAAAGATTCACGCCAGAATTGGCACCATTCTATACTTTAAGTGTTTCAAAACAAAACCAAAGGAATTAAAACGGCTAGTAAACATAAAAGATATCTCTACCTTCCTTCTAAAAGAAGCACGTGTAATTATAATAATAATTTAAATAAATAACATTAAAAATAGCTATAAAAGATATTGCGAAATTAAAAAAAATATGACTTAACAGTCAAATAAATTAACAAATATAAATTACTTTCAGCAGAGTACAGATAAAAGTAGAGCCACATGGCGAGTGATTAAACAAAATACATCACAGACAAATATAATTAAACAAACAATTGATACTATTAGGAAAGATAATGAAATTATTACTGACCCAATTGACATTGCCAAAATAATCAATAGACATTTTATTTACTTTAATGATGACATCACTAAAACCAAATCTGACAATACATACAAACCTTTGACCCAATCTAATTTAAACAGAATTTTTTTGACTCCAGTAGATATAGTTGAAATAATAAAAATTCTAAAAGGATTTAAAAATAAAAAGAGTACTGGCCATAACGGCATACCTATGTCCATTATAAAGGCAAGTATCCAACAGATAGCAAAACCACTGGCTTACATTATTAATCTGACAATAGAGACCGGAGTATTTCCCGATAAATTGAAAAAGGGGCTAATTAAACCTCTTTACAAAAATGGCTCCAAATCTGAAATTAATAACTATAGACCTATTGCACTGTTATCTAACTTTTCTAAATTGTTTGAAAAGATTATTTTCAATAGAATTAGTTCCATTTTAATAAACATAATATGCTACATGAAAATCAATATGAGTTTCAAAAGAATAAAAATACCACATTAGCTATATTTAGAATGTTAAAACAGATTTGGACAGCCGTTGATAAAAAAGATTCATGCATAGGTCTTTTCTTAGACTTGTCAAAAGCATTTGACTGCGTCCAACATGAAATTCTACTAAAACAGTTGTATCATGTTGGAATACGTGGTAATGCTTTTAAGCTGTTACAATCATACCTAGAAAATCGACAACAAGCGACAGTATTAGATGTATATGATAAGAATACAAAAGTCATGGCAAGAGTTCAGTCGGACTTCGAACAAGTAATACTGGGTGTTCCACAGGGTAGTGTATTGGCTCCTTTAATGTTTCCGCTATATATTAATGAATTGCCACTAGTAACAAAATACTTATGTGTTATGTTTGAGGATGATGCCACTATATTTATTCAAAAAGACAAATTTTCAAACCTTGACGATCAAGTACGTGATTCTTTTAATATCGTGATAAAATGGTTGTCAACCCTAGATCTTAAGGTAAATCTAGAAAAGACAAAGATTATGCAATTTAGGAATTACAAAAAGAAATTACATGATATTGACATAGTTATCAATAATAAGAAAATCGAGCAAGCAAATGAGACAAATATTCTAGGCATTAATATTGACCCCCATCTCAATTGGAAATCACATGTTAATAAAATAAATAATAGATTATCTAGTAAATGTTACCTTGTATTGAGTAATAAAAACTTCCATTGATGTTTCTCGGTGATAATGCATATTATGGCTATGTATACCCCCTTTTGACATACGGAATCATATTTTGGGGTAATTCGGTAAAAGCTCATTCTAAATTTATTTTACAAAAGAGGTGTTTGCGAATTATATATAAAATTGACCCACTTGAATCTGTAAGACTAGTATTTATAAAATATACCTGATATAGATACCTGACATTGACTTGTATATATATGTATTTGAAATATGTGTGTTTGTAAAAAATCATGACTAATATTATTGTAAAAAAACTGACTAAAGCTAATATACGAGCCCAATTTAAAAATGACATGAATACTGCATTATCGACTAGCTATATATTTGACAAAAGCTCTTTTAAAAGTGGAATTAAAATATTTAACAATTTACCCAATGACATTAAAGATTGAAATTTATTTTAATTTAAAATTAAATTAAAGAAATTGTTAATAGATAAATGTTTTTATAATATAAAAGAGTATTTTCGAATTTTTTAATAGCATTTACCACCTATAATGAATATTGTATGTCCGAAACGGGCAGCTGTCTAGAACTAAGACATTACTTGTAACATCATTGTACTCAGCACGACAATAAAGCTTTCTATTCTATTAGAAAAAATAGCTTAATTAAAAAAACAATTAAAAATTAATAATATAAATAGCTTGCTTTAAGAAGTGAAAAAAAAATAACTGAGCTCAGGATTGATCCACTGATCATTTGGTATCGACCAGACCCTTACCGTTCGGCTATCTGTCTCTTGCAGAGATTAACAAAATTATGTATACCTTGTGATTAATACTGTCGCTTTTTCGTTTCATCGAGTTTCAATTCACAATGGTGCTAAAGAAGTTTTCACTTCAAAAAAACCATAAAGGATACGCACGGCGCTATGTGTATGTATGGGAGCGTGTGGTAAAACACTTTACCGCACGCTCTGTTGTATGGCCCATAATTTCGAGCTTTCCAACAATGTATACAACCTTCTTAAATGCATTTTTGAGCAAAAGTTTTCAAAAATATCTTTTTAATTATTATAGTACACTTTTATTTTTTCTATGATATTAGGCTGAATGAAAAAAATGGCGCACGCATTCGAAATAATGGAAATTATTTTCTTCCGCTTCCCATTAAATTTTCTGCGGATAGTGTTTTGTTTTCGGGATTTCAGAAAAAAATTGCATTATACTTATTTGCTACCTACTTTCTTTAATTTCAGTTGTTCGTATGAGTAAAGACGAAGTAGTGTATGCAACTGCATATAATTTAGGTATTAAAAGACTAGAGTCTGTTTATCACATGAGGCGAAGCCCCTTCTAAAGCAGGCCATATACGCTAGGGTATACCTGACAGGATTACCTGTACGGTTCAACTGCACAGGTAAACTTGAGTTTAGTAGAGACCATACACGTTGCGGTAAACCTGCACAAACTTTCAGTTAAAATCATGACGCCGGGCGCGGCGCTTGATTTCAACACAGTAGCATTTTTAGGATATATTGTTTATTTTATTAAAAAAATAAAATTTAAACGAAGACAACGTGAACAGTGCTGCAAAGTATGGTTACTGCAAAGAAATCAGAACTCTCATGTTAATTTACTGAAATAATTGAAATTAAGCCCAACAGATTTTTGCAATTATCTAAAAATTAATTATCAAATGGATGAAAATACATGTTTTTTAACAAATAATAAAATTATAAAAATCTTCACATGTCATTTTGAAGTTGTATTGAGTAAGAATTGCAGATTCATATGACTGCATACTTAGTCTATTCCTGTATTTGCTCCACTTAGTATTAATCAGAGAAAAACTCTTTCCACATTTGCTTTATGTGCGCTTAAACAAAAATAAAATTCACAGATCTTGAGCAGTTCTGAGAAACATTTAATGTTTTTAACACTTTCGAAGTAGATTGTCCACTGCTCGTGCACCTTCAAATAATAATATGCTTCATCTTCATCTGATTTTTATTTATGAAATAAAAACAAGTGACAAAGTGATCGTGTGGCTTAACATCGTCAATCTCTACACCTCTGATGCTCAAGAACTCAAAGCATGAAACTAAATCATCATATTTTAGGTTTTCGTGCTATTTCAGCAATGTCATCCACTCAAAACATTTGTCCTGCTCCCTCTCGATGTTTAGCAAAAAGGAGACTTACAGTAGGTAAGGGGGACGGGAAGAGAAAACATGGAAAAGGACGAAATGTCCTCCTTTTGGATACCATCTGGCAACCCTATTCTCAGGTCGCTCTAAGACGTCGATAGTGATGGAAAATTATTGGGCACTCATTTTCATTACATGATATTTTTAGTCTGGTATGTTGTAAAAACGAGATAAAGCGCCTCTGTTCTGACTATGCCTGGTTGAGCCCTCTTTACATCTGAAAGCATTACTTAAATTTAATGAGATTTATTTCTAATAGTACATAACTACTCAGTCCTGTTTGTATAGTACGTGCATGATCAATATCGTTTGTAACGTGAGAACGTCCATCCTCATACCTGTTTTTATATGAGGAAGAAAACTTCTGGTTTCGAACCGTCGCGTCGTATTTTTAAATACTACAACTACGTTGCTCTATGGTTAGTAAGTGCAACTAATCAATATATTATGTGTTGTACTAAAAAAAGGGCGTTTTTTTCTAATAATGGTCACCTGTGATATGCCATTACCGATACATTTACCTTTTATAGAAATAGGGTGCCGAGTCTGAACGTTTCGGAAAATACACATCTGATTGATATAGTACGCTTATAGCTTAAAAAATCGTAATTTTTGAGCGCCTCGTTTACCCCGTTAGAAAAGATTTTGACTATTTCCAATAGAAGTAAACAGTAGATTTATTCTTCCTTTTGTAAGTTAATGTAGAATATTTGCAAATACTATTTTCCTTTTTTTGTACTGATCGTTCTACTGCAGCTAGTTTACGGAAAAAACTATGTGTATGTTGCACAACTTCAAACGCCTCAATCTCTCAATAATGTTGAGTAAATTAGAACAAATTAATTACTACGACATCAGAAATATGTTTTTGTTGTTACATAATGTATTATAATTTTAATTTTCCATCTCATTAATTATCAAAAAAAAAACATCCAACCTCCGTGAGTTTTCCCAAAAAATAATGCAGGTTTACCTCGTATTTTTGATATTGAATTAAATAGAATTACTATCAAAAAACTACTGAAATATGCATATATTTATATAATAAGTTCATTAATAATTATTTTATAAGACTCGAAACATCACCCGTAAAATGCAATATATACTGGTGCAAATGTACCCACGCGCGGATCAGTACGGCAGCGGCACAGAATATATACTCTACGGCAGCGGCGCAATTTTGTAAAAGGGCTCTTAATAATGAATGAAAAATCTCCCTGTGCTTAAATAATGTTCTATTCATGATGTACAAATAAAGAATGTTAAAATAAATTAATATGCCTCTCATAACTCACTTAATTTAACATTTGGTAACGTAAAAGGTATGTATTTATTGTTTAGTGCATTTTCGTAACTGACTCCAAAAAGGAAGTGGCTCTTAATTTGTGTTTCACATGTTTCAATGTTGACCACGTCCGAGTTCCAAATTATACTAGGGCTCGTCCTATTTTTTACTTATTAGTTCCATTTTCTATTTTGAAGTCGGTTTTAATTTTTTTTATATAAAAAAAAAACGATAAACAGGCAGACAGGCCACGTGCGCTTGGCTAAACTCCATATTTTTGACAATTCAATGTGTTTTAGGGGTTGGCGATATTGATCACATTCTGTTCAACTGCACAAAATATAACTCGGTTGTTTTTATAATATTTTAATTGCTCATGAAGCTCCCTTACCTGTAAATAGTACTTGTATATTGTCTCTCTGTAATATCGTGTACCTACAGAAGATGCATCTCCATAAGTATTTAAAATTATTTTTGATTATCTAATGTATATATTAATGTATTTACATAAATCTAAAACATAACATTGGCAGAAATGTTCTTATCACAGGTCGACATTTGAGAAAAAGGTATTTGAAAGAACTGTTGCTGTCGCGCATTGGCAAATATCGTGCGATAGGCACAACAACAGCTAACGCTGAAAATTGCGTATAAAAATTGCAAAATTCGAGGTACGGCTCTCGACGATTTCCTCTTCGAAATTTTGATGTATGCAAAATAAATTTTACCCATAAAATAATAAATAGTTATACTGTGCCCCTATGTTTTGCTTTTTTTGCTTATTGAATCTCCACACTAGACGTCTTTAGTGGTGATAAAAAAAAAATACATTTTTAGGGTTCCGTACCTCAAAAAGAAAAAACGGAACCCTTATAGGATCACTTTGTTGTCTGTCCGTCCGTCTGTCAAGACCGCTTTTCTCAAGAACGTTTGGAGGTATCAAACTGAAATATCTAATACTCAGGTCTACTGTCCCTTGGAGTTGTGAAAAAAACAAACTTCTAAGCCAAAGCAATCCAAAGGTACAGCCGTTTAGCCACAAATTTCCGCAAATATTCGAAACTCGCACGGGAATCAAAACCTACAGGGTACTTCCCGTGAACTTAGAATCTTGAAATTTGGTACGAAGTAATGTCTTATAATACAGATAAAGGAAAAATTGCGAAAACCGTAAATTTTTAGTTACATCATATTTTATAATAAAAAATATTTTTTTAATAATTATTAATATATACCTACCGGTTTGTACGGAACCCTCGGTGCGCGAGTCCGACTCGCATTTGGCCGGTTTTTTTGGCTGTTTTAAGGGGTTCGAGTAGTTTTGAATTTGTCGAAAAAAGGAAGACATTGGAGCATAGAATGAGTTAAGTTATATTTTATGTATGAAAATCATTTCTTTAGTGATAAAAATCAAGGAATCATTGGAGAAAGTTTGTATGGAATAAAAATTGCCCGCCTCACCTCTTTGGGTGAAAAAAAAATTAAACGAATGTCGACCAAAGTTCGTATTCACCGAAAAGTATTATTGCCAAATAAAAAAAAATCAACTTGAATTCCAAGAGAATTATATGTATTATTTAAAATATAACTATATCAACATGCATTAAATTCATATTACATTGGTTCTAAGAAATGAATAGGAACACAAATTAAATTAAATAATTTCATTGGTATTTACATTAAATAAATACCTACTTAATCGAAAAAAAAACTTATTTAAAATAGCATTATAATGAGTTATATACCATTATTTAATGTAAGTTCAGATGAACAAACAAATCTTTAAAAATCATTTAAGATTTGGCCTCAACTTTTTTGCCCTTTACGGACTCCATACGTTTGTATTGAGAACGTGTTTGGCAAAATACTGCTTTTGAATACTCCACCCAATTATTCTAATAGGAAAATAAGATGAAGACTGATATATTTCTAGGATTATTGTATACTTATCTTAATTTATGAATGTGCTATAGTGCTAGATTCTTAATCTCGATCCATTTTCTCCTCTCGTTCTATCTCAAGTTTCTACCTAAACACAGATTTTATGACGTTCAAACACTTAGGCCCGTATTATAGAAAGATTCTCAGTGATTGATCTAGTCTTGAGCATAGTTAGAAAGGGATGTCGCTATGTATAGCACATCGCAACATCCCTTTCTAATTGGACTCAAGTTAAGATCAACACTTAGTTGTCTTTCTATAATACGGGCCTTAGACTGAAGTTGCGGAAAGTTGGAAGCCGTGATGCTTACTAGATATTGTACATAAAACATAACATATTATTATGGCACTTAACTAAGATTTTAGGTAATTCTCGTATACACATAAACAAGCATTATGAACATTGAGCAACGCAGCCGACGCGGCTAGGAGCGGAGGAACCATAATGACATAATAGATACTACTGAAATCATTCCACCGCATTTTGCGGGGGAGGAATATGCACACAAATGCAGTCCAATATACTTTCGCAAAAACGAAATTGTAATATCGTCACTCACACATGAAAAATTACAGTGCTAAATTGGACATAGATGAAACGTAAGATTTTTTATTGACAGATCTGAATTTTTTACAGGCGAGTCGATTGTTTTGTCAAACAAGTCCGACGATTGAATATTAACGAAATAATATGAGTTTTGTGTTTAAAAGTGGATAAATAGAAATTATATGTTAATAATTCTACTTATATGTGAAAATTTACACCATCTTTTTGTAAGTTATTATATTCCAGATATGTTTTACAGAAAATTATATAACATATTGGCATTTTTGATCTCTAACATACACTCGCGCACCTTGACTCAGTCTAGTGAAATATCCGACGTGCAACTAGTTTTGTTTTTGAGCTGGCCCAACAGCGTCGGCTGCGTTGGCTGCGTTGCTCTATGATTATAAAACTAACACAAAATGACGAAATGATAATCTAAATACCATAACTTAGAGCTAAAAATTGTATTAAGGCTCTTCTTCTTCGATCAACAATTGTTGTGTATTATTGTATTATGTATCGATTAACAATTGTTGATCAATGCTCTTCTTAATGAAATTTGATATACAATGAAAAAAAAAGAATAGTCTTTGTACATGCATTTCCGAAAATTATGAAAAAATTTGATTCTCGTAAAACTTTATTATTACTAAGTAAAATAGCGTATGAAATTGTGACATTTGACGACAAAGTGAGTTATTCTAAACGTACTTATATTTAATGTTTTTGAATATCTTTTTCTTGAGTAGAAAGTGAACATTCATTATTTTGAACGATTTTTATGGCAAAATATATTATTGACAGAACTGATAAATATAGGTACTTCTTGAACGCATACTTATTTGAACAAGGCTGTTGTTTAAATGATCTCCAAAAAAAAAACCGCTATCCTAACTTAATTTTTATTTGGTGATCCTTTGCTGCTTTTTTGATGATCATTTAAATATTAGCTTTAAAAACAATTCCTTATCTAATCAGGACCAACCTGGGCCCAAATTATCAACTAATACAAAAAAGAGATTCAACAGTCTTATAGTAAAGTACGATGATATTCCTCCTCTTCGTAACTATTTTTTTTATTTTCTCATTTTAACAAACGAACTTACTTGAGCAGCGCCAATACCATGAACTTTTCATGCAATCCAAAAGCCACGTGAAGTGTGATATCATATCACTGATATCGCTTTACGGAATAAAGCGATGTCTCATTCTATTTTACAAATTGAATCGCAATTTAAGGTTTAATACAGACGGGCTACATTTGAATTACCATATTGCAGCTAAATTGCAATTGACACCACTACAATGGAAATGCGCAGTTTTGTAATCTAATTGACATTATTCCAAAAATATCGACTGTTACTTTTATTTCATTTAGAGAAAGTTACATATCTAGGTGAATTCCTAATTTATATTCTTTTCCCATAATTACATAAAATCATTTGAAAATATATATTTGTAAAGGACAACGTAAGTGCTTTTAAGGGAATGTAGCTTTAATCGATCAAATTAATAAAGATAAAAAAGGTACTTAAAGAAAAATCATTTTCTCTTTGGCATTTGGTTACTCCATTAGATGCTTATCCGCTTTTTCTTTTTAAAATGCAAAACTTAAAATAATGGCGTTATTATTCTAAGATGCAAAGGAATTCAAGTGTTCTTTATCATAATATCCTGAGTATTATTGCTCATATTCTTGTAAAACAACTAAATAAAAAAAGCTTTCATAAGAACTGCATGCCAACTGCTAGTTAGTAGACTTCATTGAAACTGTACCTTACTTTACAATTGACTGGCAATGGCATTTCAGACGCAGTCTGTAAGAAGCCTGGTTCGTAGTACGCCCCCTCTCGCTTAATTTTCAAATATCCTAATTTTAACAAAAACTTAATGAGTTTCATCAGTTGAGTCTCACTTCAACAGTTTCTTCTGCCAATATATGTTCATCATCAGGGTCATCATGTGGACTCAGCTTCTCTGCCAGCGGCCGTGTCAAGGGCAAGCAGAAGTTTTCGCTAACTAGGCCGCGTATTGCACGCCTTCTGAACACCACTAGCAGCAAGAATATAACGACTCCTTGTAGGCAATTGAAGGTGTCCATGATTTTCCTGCGAAAAGAAGTGCAGGATGGTCGGCAGGCTTTGTCGTATATCTGGTTGTATAGTACGATATGGCATATTATTATGATTACTAATAATATAAAATGAAGGTATTATAAAATGAATTTATTCAGCTACTTAAATATGCCCATGTGTCATATCTATTGACTACCAGGATATTTTTACGGTGTCATATCTTTTGACTCCCAGGATATTTATTTTTGGTGTCATAATAAAAATGGCTAGTTTTTCATAGGTCTATCGATTCATACTAATTACATTGTTGGCGGAGCTGGGTGCGTTTTGCCCATTGTCCTTTAGCACTTTCTGTATTTTCCTTTTAGAAGCACGATAGTGCAAGTCGTTAGCGCGTTTGGCTGCGATCGTTGAAGTTTAATGCAATTTTCGCAGTGGTCGATCATTGGATGGGTGACCAAAAAATTATTATCTCGAGTTCCACCGTGCTTCGGAAGGCACGTTAAACTGTTGGTTCCGGCTGCATCTACAGTCGTTAGCATCCGAACTGCACTGGGCCCGCGCCCGGTCATGGCCCAGTCTCCCTTTTCAACCCATAGGAAATGCCTGTGCTCTAGCAGTGGGGACATTAACAGGCAGATCATGATGATATTTTTCTTCCAATTAAATATTGAAAATCTAGAATAAATTAATAATGTCAGAGGATTTCGAACATTCACAAGCGTATTTACGGTCTATAAGTTATAGAGGTATATATGTGCTTATTTCATTAAAAATATAATTGTTGCTTTGATTATAAAAAATAACAGTCTACATTATTTCTATAAAAGACCTTAATTAGCGCTTTATCATATAATTTTTGAAGTTTCTATTCATTTTTACGCTAACTATATGATCTAATTCCGTTCAAACTAGTTTCTTAAAAATAATTGGTGATGTATGAAACTGATAGATATTACAAGCTGATCCAGCCAACTTCGTGCTGCCACAAAAATATGGGTAGTAGAAGGGTAAAAATATAGGGCTGTATATAATTTTTAATGCCACATTATAAAAAAAAAGGTTGTCCAAATAATAAAAAAAATGTTAGGGGTGGACAACCCTTATCACTTAGGGGTATGAAAAATAGATAAGAGGAGTGTGGTTACTAACATTGTGACTCGAGAATTTTATATATAAAATATTTACCATATAATGTGTTGTTCGCCGTGAGCAAAGCTTGCAATTTCGAATATCCAATTTATCCCCATCACTAAGAACAATTTCAATGACAAGCGGAATCTGAAATTATTGATATTAATTAGTTCAAAAGCTCAAACAAAAAGAAAATATATGTCTTTATAATTTTAATGTACAAACTAAATACCTGTGCTTTAAGTTGTTCAGTTTGTTCACTTCATACTTTTTGGTTTGCTGCCAGAGGTGATATGAGGACAGTACGAACATAACAACGTTCGAAGCAACTAAAATGGCTATGGGACCGTAGAAGAACAGCCATGTTTCTGCCCGTCCTTTGAACCAACAAGCGTCAATCCCAAAGCCAGGCCTGTAATGGTTGCCCTCAACGAATTGCGTTATAAGCGCTATTATAACAAATAATAAAGGGCAACCCCAAGCGTAAAAACTATACAAAATGTACTGCTTTCTTTCAGTCTTCTGTAAATAAGCCGCGTCTCTGAAACAAAATAAAAACTCAGTCAATGGACTATATAGGTATAAGACAAGCACACCCAGTCACTCGCGATTGCTTCCATTGAAAAGTTATATACTGAGTCGAGTTTTCTTAATAAAAGAGAAAACTGCCATCAACTGTTTTACGCTCTTTTCTCTTTCTTAGCATTAAGTATGCCAGCCCATACTTAGGAAATTATAGGTAATATAAATGTTTGGTTATATTATTGGAGATATTATTGCTGTTATCAAATTACGTAGGTATCCAGTGGATTAAAAACAACTGTAACCTTATTTATCTAATGTTATTTCAAGACTTGTCATTGTACGAACTCAATCAAAAGTAAACAATAAGCATTACGTGGCTGGGAGCAATTATCACAAACGCTATATACTTACAGAATGGTACGGAATGTGTTAATGCAAACTACGTTCATCCAAAAAAATGTGGCCATCATCCATGCGTAAACTAGGAAACCTAAAAATATATATAATTTTAGGTTACAAAAAACCGGCCAAGTGCAAGTCGGACTCGCGCACCGAGGGTTCCGTACACACTCAATTTAATACGTGCGTCTACGCGTTCATTAGAGAGAGAGAGAGAGAGCGAGAAAAGAGGTAGTAATTTTAAAATTTTCTAAAATATTTTTTATTATATGATGCAACTAAAAATTTACAGTTTTCGAATTTTTTTCCTTTATCTTTATTGGAGTTTACTCCTTAAGAATCGATTTGCATATATAAGGGGCCCAGTATGAGAAAAATGTGAGGAGTAAAATCTATCGATGAATGACCTCGTTACGTTTTTGGTGCGCATCCTATGTCGCGCAACTTTGACAAACAAAGATGACGGATTGACATTAATAAAAATTTTAAAATCTGAACTGAATTTAGATATTGTTTCTGATAGAGTAATGCGGACAACGAAGTATGGTACAACCATAGATGAATGATTGGTCTCGCTTCAGTCGAGTGAAGCGAGACCAATCATTCATTTATGGGTACAACCATTGATGCGGTATTTTCAAGATTCGTGAACCACGTATCTATGAACGTCCATGTGTCTTATTTTAGTTACCATAAACCACTTGTCACTGTAATTAATAATGCAGACAATGTTGATTTAATTAATATTTAAAAAAAATGATAATAGTCTGATAATAATAATTAAATAATTTATCAACATTCCTAATGATATATTTATGCACATCTGAAATTGACTATTGTAAAAAGTTTATTGTAAAATATTTCGTCGATTAGTTATAATAAATATATATGAAATGAATAAATATATATTTATATATGTATATTATTTTCATTAATTTGTTAATTTACCCTTTCATACAGTATCAATCTTTTTTAAGTTAAATAAACTCTTTTTGCGTCTGGTTAGACTATCGAACTTAAGGAGTAAACTCCAGTCGTGCGTCGAATCTGACACACACAATTTTTTTTAATAAGACGTTACTTTGTACCATATTTCAAGATTCTAAGTTCACGGGAAGTACCCTGAAGGTTTTGATTCCCATGAGAGTTTCGAAAAATTTCGGCATAAACGGCTGTATCTTTTGATTGCTTTGGCTTAGAAGTTTGATTTTTTCACAGCTCCAAGGGACAGTAGACATGAGTATTAGATATGAATTTCAGTTTGATACCTCCACGCGTTCCTGAGAAAAACGGCCTGGACAGACGGACGGACGGACTGACAACAAAGTGATCCTATAACGGTTCTTTTTTTTGTGGTACGGAACCCTAAATAGGACAAACTTCCATGCAAAAGTATCGACTTGAACTAATTGTGATAAATTATGATGTTTTACCTGCAGCTGTGCAAAGTTCGTTACCAAAGCCAGTGTTTAGTTGCATCATGCCCAACGATAGAAATCCTAACGACATACTGACACAGGTACAAAGGTAACATAATCCTTGTAGATCTCTGAAATGTTTACAAATTCAACTGTTTAATAAATCGTTTTTAGTCGATGCATTAATTAAACATCAGAAAACATTATTGCTTGCATTTGAAGATAATTGTGAACAACTAACCTCATTTGTGGGAGATAAGTGTAAACTGCTATTGTTGCCAATAAGAAAACCACAGAGATAAGTGTGAGTATACCGCTCGTCTCCAAATCATTTGTATATATCTTATCTTTTTCAAAGCAAACCAGCGCCACGTTCGTCAACCCCATTGATTTATCACTGTTGTTTATGTACATTTGACCAACACAATACCTGTAAAAAAGATGTATATCAGTGGATATAAAAATACCATAGAAATAGTTTATTAACGGCGTTTGGAATCTATAATGTAAACCAAAGCCGATAGCTAATACATATGTATGTCTCTTCGTGACATTGCTTTTACCAAACGATTTATTCATGTACAGTCAGTTTCGTAAAATATTAGGTGACAATGTGGTCAAATATATGTTAGGAGCAATACCAATATATGGTACCAATATTTTTCTTTGCATTTAAGTTATCTAAATTATTATTGTCATCAACCAACCAGTCTTATATTAATCTTTACATCAACAGTCTCTAACTACATAGGTATACTTACACCATTACAAGAATCTTTTAAATTTTAAATACTTCCAAAGTATAATTAAATATACTTGTTTCAAAATACTTGTTCCAAACAAAAGACATGTCAAATACGTCATGCTCGAAATGAAAGGGATCGGTAGAGAACATAATCAATAGAAAATAACTTATAACACCCGATTACGCTTTACTTTTCTTTATTACCAAGATATATTTGGTAACTTTGAGTGGTAAGATACTTACTATTATATAGTATATTAACGAATATATAAATACATTAAATAATATTGGAATTGTGTTGTTTAAATAATATTGACCACTCTGGACGGTTACAACAATAAAATAATCATATATAAATTTTAATTTGTGTACATTACATATTTTTGGCCAGTCTTCGCACCGTAATCTTTATAAATCTGACTGTACTAAATGCTAAGGGGTTGTTACAGATATTTAGATTACAATCAATATCTAGTATCTTCCACACAACATTTTCATCTTACAGTAATAAATGTTGCCACAAGCAAGGTTAGTACGTAAAGACGAACCGATAATATGTCTCTAAACTTAAGTATCTTTAAAATGCTTGTATCTTTTTTATTTACCTTTTAATTAATTATTGGCACTCTGTTACAGGTAAAATCCATGGATAAAAATCCTTTAAACATATTGTAAATTTAACAGGGTTGTTATTTATGAAACTGGAATAACAAAGTGAAACAAAATAAAGATAAAATTTATTAATTATGTATAATTACAATGTTGTTCTTTATCTGGCCAGTTCCGGATACATAAATTGCAGCCCCTGTATCTATCGACACTGAAATGACTCTTTGAATTACTGATTATTGATAGACTTAAATCTCACTGTGTAGGGTCCTCGACGAAAGTATATCCAGGCGTGTCCTGTGTCGAGACTTTATTGCCTTTAAGCACGATGTTTCTGAGTAGCATCCGTCCGTCAGGGCACTCAAGTAGCGGGCTTGTGACGTTGCCACAGCTTCGTCGCTCCATGATTTCCCCGTTTGGGCAGCATGGGCTTGTGGAAAGTGCAACCCCGCAGAAGATTAGTAACAGTAATAGTTCCTGGAAGAAAAGCAAAACAACGGTATAAATATTTAATAAATCATTAAATTACATTTAGGTACCTATTAAGAAGTCAGTCAGTGTATCGGGATGCAATGCAATTGCCCTGATTTTAACGCTGGTGTTTATTTTTATTAAAATTTTGATGGTATGCCGCCGTTTATTTTGAAATGATCTCGCATAAAATGTTACAAAAGGCTCCATGAGATGGGGAAATACTTAGACTTGGGATTGACAAATCCGAGGTTGTTGGTAATGAAATGAAATAATGGATGCATTCTTTTCTCCATACTACTCTGCCCAATCATGTACCTCAATTAATATCGTGCATTATGTGTAGGAAAAATTAAAAATATAAATTCAATTTATTATCCACTTGTAGCACATAAAAATGTCTATTAAACATTTAAATTAATGGCAATACAGTTATGTTAAATGTGCATCTGTATATTATTGAAAAATAAACTATGGAAATCATAAAAAATAAACCTGATCGGCAGAAGCTTCAATATAACAAACAAAATGTAATATACAACAAGCCCAACAAGATACATATAAAATATCTACGTTTATATAAACGTAACGATAGCGCGATTTAAAAGCCATTGATACAGCGCGATTCAAGAGTCGTTGTTACAGCGCCGCCGAACCGCCGAGCGGCAGCTTTTTACAATTAATGATTTTTCATTGTGGTCTTTTATATAGTTTTTTTAAGATTTTGTTTTACAAAACAAGTTTGTACGCGTGTTATCTTCACTTTAAAATAATGCTTTATAAAAACTAAACAGGGATCTTATACACGACAACAGTATCTACATTACGTATCCATCGTTAACATGTTTCTAAGAACCCAGGGGGAAAAAAGTACTTTTTATGTGCTGGAAACCATGAGAACATAATATTTATTTAGTTAGGCGATTACGTCTGATTTATATAAACAAATCGCTTAGTTCGTTTGTCCACCGCGGCCGCCACCGAGACGTCAACGTGAACAAGATGACGTCGGGCCGCCGAAACAGCGACACGTACATTTACTATATATATACCCCATGTATGTTCCGCGATTTTTCTTAGTTTTTGAGTTATAATTTTTTGGGGTATTTTTAATGATTCTTTCCGAGCGAGGTTTCAAAAATTCATCTTTTTTCGTAGAAGGTATTTTGCAGTCTTTTTTTGTGACATAATTGTCTTGAATGTTGTTTAAATTAAAAATAAATAAATCAGCTTCCTGAAATTACTTAAAGTTACTCAAAATAGGCTTTAAAGTTTAGGAACTTTAGTTTTAGTACGATTTACTCGACATTCAACTTCAATTTAAAAATACAAAGGGGAGTTTCCATAGCTTCTGGCTAAAATTAAAAACTCCGCATGCTTCTAAACTACCAAAAATCATTAAAAAATGTACTTAATCAACCTATTTTGGTTGTAATTGGCCTTCGAAGACGGATAGGCTAAAAATCATTGAAACACGATTAAAGCACTAAAAAATATTTTATGTACTTTTTATCATTGTTATGGTAAATTAAACTTAAAATGTAATTTCAAATTAAATTTAATTGAAATTCCGGTGTGTGAAATGTTTCAATGATTTTTTGATTGATTTGATTGGGCACAATATTAAGAAGTCGGGTCAACATATAGGCTACATATTATCACGCTATCACCTACGGGGAACTGCTCGTTCCCTAAACCTTTATTTCTAACTTACTCCACGCGTACGAAGGCGGCCGCCCGCTAGTACAGAAATAATCTCGTTCTCGGTGACGTGACGGTGACGGCGGCGGTGGACAAACGGCCTTACGGTCACTTTTTCACGCAATTTTAGTATTTGAGCAGTTTTTCGTAAATTAATTGGTAATGCTTAAACCTGATTGTTTAGTTGTATACTTTATTTATGGTTTCTCTCGCGATATTTAAACATCACTTTAAAATATGATCGATTTGTCAGGTATTAATCGAATGATTATAATATGATTCACGGTCGTTCATTCGGAAATAGGTCAGTCAACAATCAGCGCCTGTTAATGATATGTAAAGAGGGTAATTTTGTTAAGCCCGTCCTCAGTGCCTAGGTCAAAGTTACTCCTCTGGGTCAAATGATTTTACTACAAGATTGAATTACGATTGTTCAAGTAGGTTAGTTATTTAAGTCTTGAGATTGAGATACCCTGTTCGCACTACTCCCGGTGGGTCAGGGAGGCGCGGCGTAACGCCTTTTGTAGATGTAAAAAAAAGGTAAATTTAAAAAATCAAAAAACCCGACTGCTTAGTTATACTTCAAATAAAAACTGAAAAGAAAAAAACAAGTCCAGTAGTCTATAATTCTGTTAATAAGGAACAAAGCTACTTTAACAGTCGGGACCCATTAGATATTCAAGAATACATAATATTTTTCAACAGTGGGTCCCGGCTGTTAAAGTAGCTTTGTTCCTTATTAACAGAATTATAGACTACTGGACTTGTTTTTTTCTTTTCAGTTTTTATTTGAAGTATAACTAAGCAGTCGGGTTTTTTGATTTTTTAAATTTACCTTTTTTATTTCACACTTTTTAGTTAGTTAGTATTTTAAGACGGTATATACCGTAGTCTTGTTACTTCAGTAAGGGAATTAATATCGCGGGAATTATTAAATACCTTGCGTCGGTCTAAAAGATTGATTTATTAAGACGTATAAAGACTTTACCAGCGGGGTCATGGCTACAGATGAGCCTCAATTTTCGCAAAAATGTGTGAAGTTAAATCAAGTCGTTACATAAATATCTCTAATGTATGTAAATTTTATAGTAAACTAGCACTTACTCAAAAAGTCATCTTTTGTTTATGTTTTTTTTAATAGTTTAGCAGTAAATATAAAATTCATTTCCTTTTATTCGTCGACTATTTAAAATTGGCAGTGGCTGCATTGTCATGTCAATGCCGGACGTCTAAGATTGTGATATACACAAATGCAGTGTCAGTCCCTAGTCTCATAATTTGATATGCCCACATAATTCACAGAAACCCAATATGTAGATGCCAGAAGTTAACTTCAAATGTTTTTAATCACCCTATAATACCAATCAATGACGTTTATGTCGCAGGTTGAAGAAATCAGTAATTCCCGTTTGTTGTTTTGGACAATGGTGGCAACTGCCTTAGATCACTAAATTAAATAATTATGTAATCACCAAAGCAATGGCAATTATTTTCCAATTTTTTTTTTTTGTTTAAAAAAATACCGAGTAACGTATCACTGTTAAGCACAAATGCTAAGTAACTTTTACAATTATAATCAAATAAACCTATTACTTACTTTATTTTTAAATCTTTTTCATCAATTAAATACTTATCATATCCTAACTATATAAAATAATATTATAAAAAGGCAAGATTTGTATGTTTATAACAAATAATCTGTCAAACTACTGAACCGGTTTCAAATATTAATTCATCATAAGGTAGCTACATTATTTATTATTACATTTTTCTTTATTTAAATACGTTTTGTCCGAGTGACATAGCCTATATTTCATCCCGATAAATAAATTTCGCCCGTACAATGCCCGGGTGGATCACTAGTAAGTATAATATAATATTATAGATGCGAAAGTGAGTTTGTTTGTTGCGCTTCCGTGCCCTAATAACTAAATCGAATATAATGAATTCCCATATAGAAGTAGATGGGAACTTGGTTCTTAGCTACAACATCGCAATACTTGTTGGCGTAGGGTGATGAAAGGGGTGATTTACCTATAAAAATCTACATTATTTACTTTGAATTTTGTAGAATTATTACAAAACTAAAATTATCGCGAGCTGATTAATAATATAGGGATTCCAATAAGTATGTTCTTACTAGCGAGAAATGGGTTATTTGTCATTATATTATGTAAACCTTTTTTGTAATATTAAGTAATATCGTTAAAAAAATTAAAAACAGTAAAATTCAGAGTTTTTCATTAAAATTCAATAGTCATAAATACCTGTTATGATAATATATTTTTCATCATTTAATAAGAAGGAACTATATCACAATTTTATTGTTAGTGCTTCGTATAGGATCATATACTGCGAATAGCCCATTTTTTTCTTTTACATAGAACACCGCGCTATCACTTTGTCATCGTTGTAACTTTTTAAATATTTGTCGAAATGACAGTGTAAAAAGCAAAGTTTATCGTCTTTAAATATCAAAAGCGATAAAAGTATTTGTTTGGATAAAAAATGATTTGTTAATATAAATGTGCATTTTGGAAATAGATATCAAATAATATTTTAGTTTTGATTCACTATTTTAGCGGTAATGACTTACACATTAAAAATAGATATATGGTGTCACGGACTTTTTTTTAGAACTATTTAAGAGATACATTTTCACTCTACATTACATTCATGTAACTTTTATTGTTTTCGCAGTGCAGGCCAAAATAGCTCGCAGATGGGAGATGTTTTTCCGTCTTATGTGACACTTATTGTTATATATTGGCCAATTCACTCAATAACTACATAAATTATTATATATATGTAATTATTATATATGAGCTATATTACTGTTAAGTTTCATTAAAATCCATTCAGTATTTTTTAGGTGAAAGAGTAACAAAGATCCATACAAATGTAAGATTGAAATTAAAAGCGTAAGTGGTTAATATACAACTTTAAAGCGTTGTAGATCCTAAACAATCATGTAAAATGAAAAATGGTGTTAGAAACCTAAATATGATTTTTGATTATCTAGACAGTGATACCCCACTCGACATATTTTGTCAACTTATTTTTTTTACTTCGTCACAATATGGCGCCTAATTTTGCCCATATTGAATTTTGATTACTATCATATCTTTAGTAGCACTCCCATGATTGAGACGAATCGATTGATGTATGAATCATCAAAATCGGTCCAGGCGTTTGGTCTCTAGTGTGCCACAAAGGAACAAACATACATATATAGACTGTTAAACACATAACCCTGTCTGCGCGTCGCGCTTCGCGCTCTTGCATTGCGCAGCCGGGTAAAAAGG